ATGAGCTAGCAGTGTGCTGCAGCTGCCAAAAACCCAACACAATGCTAGGCTGCATTAACAGAGGGATAGAATCAAGATCACATGAAGTGTTAATACCACTTTATAACACTTGGTAAGGCCATACTTGGACTACTGCATCCACTTGTGGTCACCATGATATAACAAAGATGTTGAGACTCTAGAAAAAGTTCAGAGAAGAGAAACAAAGAGGATTAGGGGACTGGAGGCTAAAACATAAGGAACGGTTGCTGGAATTGAGTATGCCTAGTTTAATGAAGAGAAGGACTAGGTGACATGATAGCAGTGTTCCAATATCTCAGGGATTGCCATAAAAAAGAGGGAGTCAAGCTATTCTTCAAAGCAGCTGAGGGCAGGACAAGAAGCAATGGATGGAAACTAATCGGGGATAAAAACAACCTGGAATTAAGGAGAAATTTCCAGACAGAACAATTATCAGTGGAACAATCTGCCTCCAGAAGTTGTGAATGCTTGAACACTGGAAGTTTTTAAGAAGAGACTGGACAACTGTTTGTCTGAAATGGTATAGGGTTTCCCGCCTGAGCAGGGGGTTGAACTAGAAGACCTCCAAGGTCACTTCCAACTCTATTATTATAATTATAATTATTATTATTATTATTATTATTATTGAAAGCCAGTGAAGTATACTTCTTATGGGTGTTTGATTTGGATCAGAGAAATGCAGAAGGTTTGCATGCAATTATAAAACTTATTGGATAATTGGTCCAGTCACACGTGTAGTCATCCTAACATATTTCACAAGACATTAGTCACAGAGATATAATACCTGTTAGAGAAAAGGCAAGATATAAACAAAGTGCAGTTCCTAAAATCGAATTCCCAGAACAAAGCAAACATGAAACAAATCAGAGGTCAGATATTGTGTGTAGATCAGTGATAGCAAATCCAGTGATGTGGGCCATTCTCTACAATTTTCAGCACTGGAAGGAAATTGTTGATGTGCCACTTTTCCTGTTCTCCTGCCTTGCATGCCTAGTCACCTTCCAGCACCAGATTACTCTACTGCACTGTAATAACGGGAGTAGCAATAACATCATTTTGTGAATTTTCTAAAACAAGTGTCATCACCAACACTTGAGCACCAAAAGTGCTGCAGAAGGCATTTTTCTTCACTTCCAACAATGTTCCCACAAGCTATCCTCATCTTAAAGTTGTTTTTCCTTGGAAAAAGGACATAATTCAATGGTGGATGTTCTCTTTGTGTAAGAAAGTCCCCCATTCAGACCTCTAGAATGTTTTTCCCAATCTTTTTTCCTAGTCTTTCCATTGTGTTAGGAATATAACTACCATAATTGTTATTCCAATACAATTGGAAAGCATAGCTTAGAGAAAACTGTGGAACATCTTCAGGACAGAGGGATCAAGATGAGAGTTACTAAATGACCTTAGCTAATCTTGAAATTCTAAACGAAGTCAATTATTCAAGAAAACCTAAGATTGGAAAGTAGAGTGGGATGGGAAAATCTCAAAAGAAAAGAATTCCAAATTTGTTTTGTTTTGTTGTTAAAGGAAGAACCCAGACATATCCATGAAATTATCCAGGAATTGAGACCTTACATGGTAATGTAGTAAAAAGGCTGTTTCTTAAGGTCTTTTTATTGTCTATTCAGAATATAGCATAAAGATGAACAAATAGTCTAATTTTAAGGTTTTGCATACTTTAAACTGATTATTTTTAAATTAATACAAACAGGAACTGACATATTTCTGGATCTCCAGATGAGAAACTGGATTCTTCCAGTGAATTCTTTTGATCGTTTCTCAACAATGGGAACATCTATGAATGGTTCCTGTATCTACTGTAGATGTGTTGTGTCTCCTGAAATACTTACCTTCTTGGTCTTGGCAAACTTGAGAGCAAGATCAATAATAATGCTAGATCTAGCCATGTTTAATGGCTACATTAACCTTGAGACAAAAGTGCTTTGTCAGATGTGGATTTTGCCTGTTGGATTGGCATCTCCCATCTTTGCTCTCTGTTGCAATACAGATAAAGGAAGACTAGACAGATAGAACTTTGTCATGATTATCTTAACACCATTCATCTGATTAGAAAGGAATTTCCCTTCAGGTTATGCACTAAAGATCAGATCAATGAATTTTGCTTGGGATTTTTCCAGAATAGATGAGTTTCACAAGTGTGGAAACTCTAGTGTTTTTATTTTCTCCCAGGCAAGACTAACTGGAGATTTTTTAAACTCTTTCTTCATCCCCACCCCCACCCCACAAACCCCCAAACAGAACATAACTCACCTGAGTTGAAAGTAGTAATATCATGTATGTCCTACTTTCTCTGTAGTAACATACCTTTCTGCTTAAATTGTCCAGTGATATCTACTCCTATATGCACAATGGTGACCTTGGTGCTCCATGCAGCTGCCTTAACCCTTCATCTAGATTTCTTGACAATTATATTTTATAGGTGCACATGCAGTAAAATATTAGAAATTGCATAAGAGCTCGCAAATAGGAGCACATGAGTAACAAACAAGCCACAAAGACATGCTAAGTATGACACAAAAACCCCCAAATATTCAAAGTGTGATAAGGTGGTATAGCTTTAAAATTATGACCAGTTTAACATATTGTTTCTTCTGTTTGATATTTTTGGGGTTTTACAGGGGAAAAAAATCAGTTGGTTCCACTCACTATTGGATGTTTTAATATCAAAATGCAACTGTACTTCATGCAAAATAGTCATTTGTCACAAAAGGTCTTCTTGGACAGAAATTATTTTATGGGATAACTATGTTCAGGACTCATTATACAAGGATGCCTATATAATGGTTTGATGAGTTCTTCCTCCCCCCCACACACACACATTAGCTTTGCTTGAAGAACTATTTAGACCAGTTAATCAGGTTGAGAAATATTGATTTTAGATCAAGGGTCCCCAACCCCTGGTCCATGGACTGGTACTGGGCCCCAGCATGCCAGCAACCAGCCCGCACAAACAAGCAAAGCCCCATCCCTGGGATGTGGGCAGCACACAAAACCATGCACTCTTCGGTCTGCAGAAAAACCTTTCTCCACGGAACTGGTCTCTGGTGCCCAAAAGGTTGGGGACCTCTGTTTTAGACTACTGGACTGCCTATGTTAGTAAATTTGCTTAATCTCCCTTTTCTATTGTCAAGTAAACATTAATAATGTAATGATATATAACATGATTTTTTTTTATGTGAGAGAAGATAGTGGTTTAGTATGTAACAGATTTTTGTTGAGGTTTTTCTGTTTTTTGGGGCAAATCATGGTGACGAGCCAAGTAAATTCCTGTAATCTTTGTATAGGTAGTCCTCGACTTACAACAGTTCATTTAGTGACCATTCAATTACAACGGCAGTAAGAAAAGTGACTTATGACTGTTTTTCACACTTACGACTATTGCAGCTTTCCTGTGGTCACATGACCCAAATTCAGACACTTGACAACCGATTCATATTTATGATGGTTGTAGTGTCCCAGGATGATGTGATCTCCTTTTGCGACCTTCTGACAAGCAAAGTCAATGGGTAAGCCAGATTCACTTAACAACCGGGTCGCTAACTTAACAACTGTAGTGATTCATTTAACAATGGCAAGAAAATTTTGGGCTCAGTTGTGGTCATAAGTCAAGGATTCCTGTATTAGCCAATTCTGCTTTGGCATCTTTCATTTTTCTGTGGTCCAACAGGCTCTGTAGGATATAAATGGAAGGGTTTTATATTAAAAAAATGTCTCTAACCAATTATCAGAGCAGGTCTGGTAGTTTTTCAAATAGAATTGTTTCCACAAAATCTTGAAATAAGTGAAGCACAATGACACAATTTATTAATACGTAGCATAGGACTTTGATCTCTAGACTTCAGTGTGCCTGTTTCTGCAGCAGGTTGTGGCATTATTTTGAAACATAGCCAGATCTCATTCTGAAAGGGGGGACTTAATTATATACTGACTTGCAACCAATGTTTTTTATTAATGTGTTGAAATATACACTTCTTAGATAAGCAAAGGCAATTGATTTGTAACCAGGCTAACCTTGTTTTAAAAAAATGCTAGAGGGAAACTTTTGTAGCATATTTAATTAGGGGAGGAGATGCTGAGGATCTGTATGTCATTCTACAAATTGAGAATGACAAACATGTCACACTTCCAAGATTTTTAAGACTGTAGTTATCATCAGCCACAGACAGCCTGGCTAGTAATCTGGATCTGGAATCCAACACTAAGGATTTTCACAGTCTCCTGCTTTAAAGTCACCTCCTTAAAACACCTTCAACTTTTGCTTCACTGGATTTGAACAGAACTTATGTTAATAAATATAGGTGTCTGGAACCAGTAGGAATATAATGCCTTTCTTTTTTTGGGTAGATTTACTTTAACAATTGAATACCAGGATATGTTTTATTGCACAGTTTGATGTATCTTTCTGACTTCTTCAAAGTGGCAAATAATAAAGAATAATGAAGGTGGCACTTTAAACACTAATAGAGATGTATTAAGTTTTCACCAGAAAAAGCTTAAACCGCAATAAAATTGTTAACTTTTAAGCACAATACATTCTCTCTCTTCCTCCCTCCCTCCCTCCCTATGTGTAGTATTTGTGTTTGATGAAACTAAGTCTCAGATTATCCCTGGGGGATATTTTCCAAAACTACAATCATAGGTTTCCAGTGCCATCTTCTGGAAAAATAAGCAATTACAAAGAGAAGAAGGCTGTATATGATTCATCGTCACAATTTTTACAGACAACAGCTTAAAGACTTTTGAAAAATAATTTCATATACAAAAATTCAATAGCATAGATTTGACTGAATTGAAAATGAAAATATTTTCAAACAAAATAAAACATATCACTATTATTAATTTTCTTCAGATTCAATAGGAAAATTGCTTCTAGGTAATATAGTAAATACTTGCTTAAATAAATGATTTAAATCCTTTGAAACAAATCTGTGTGCAATGATAAAATTGTCCCAAACTAATTGTTTAACAGGTGCTGTTTTAATAGAAAATGATAGGAAAAAAAATGAAAGCTTAAGTACATGCATACACAAAGTCACTCCAATCAAATACATACATAGCACACATAGAAATGCATCGTTTGCAAATTTGTACGAAAATTATTTTTGAAAAGGAATCATATGCTGCCTTAGAACCATAAGCTAGAAATAGCAGAGTTGATATAAGAATAGTAGATATTGAACATGATTTTTTTTTTAAAAAAAAAAACACAAATCGGTGGTTATGATTTGGAATTGGGCTCTGCTTTCAGCTTAGCTATTCTGACTTAAGAAACCAAATTCAGGTCTAATCATTTCTGCATATTGAGAATTCAATCTTAGAAGGCCATGCCAACCCCCAAAACTTAATAGATGTATGTGAAGGAATGTTAGGAGTAAGTGGGCAACTAAACATTTTCTTATTACCTGTGGAGCTGACACTATATGAGTACTTGGGTAGCATTAGGTAATTGAGACCAAAAACGATTTTGTCATTAGAGGGATACATTCCCTTGGAGGCACTTAGTGGGAGTGGTAGGACTACCTCTTGTTGATGCATCTTTTTGTCTTCTGATACTTTCCGCCTCTCCCAAACAACAAGAGGAGCTCTCAACAGATCTCCTGCATGTTATCAGATGGAGGACTTTAACTGCTACTTCATTCTGATGAGGGGCCCTAGCTGTATGGCCATTGTGGGGTTCTGTTTTGAATTGTGTTTTGAATGTCTATTCCTAGATTGAAGTAAAGAACTCAAATAATCAGCGTAAGCCCTCTCAGGTCATTATTGAGCTAAACTAGTGGCTTGTAAATGTCTATGGAGATTTTCAGCCACCCAGGTCATAATTATCCCAAAGGAAAAAGCACTTTTGGGATAGTGGCTTGTAACTGGTTGCCTATGGGCTGCATCCAGTTCTTGTCCTTTTTTTAATGTTGTCAACTTTTGTCTCCAGTTTCTCCTTTGGCCACATAGTAAGAGCTGTTGGCTCCAGAGATGTTCACTGCTCCTATTTCATTGGCAGTTTCTCTGCCAGACTTTTTATGCAGAAACCACAGAGAATGTGCAGCAGAATTTTTTTTTTATTATTTGTCTGTCCTCTGTGGTTTGTTCCTCATAACAAGATTCTTGGGAAAGAACTTGCTGAATGAAGCACCTAAAGTGGAGAAAATGAACAAATAGCAAAACTTGAGATAGCCCAACAGAAGAGATATATGGGGACTCTCTCTCTCTCTCAAGCTGGCAGACATAATCACACAATCCAAGCCCGCTCTCTTTTGTGTATCATGAATGCATCACACATTAAAAAGGAGCAAGGCTGATTTTGTGGTTCTAATCACCCCCTTGACTTTGTAGATCCACCCCTATGGATGCCACTGTTTCTCCAAAGGTAATCGGGCTGAGTTTTTTTTTAAGATAGTGAAATATTTGTGAAAAACAGGGTCTTCTTATAAGACATACTCAGATTTGATCTTTATCTGTAATCTCTATCTTCAAGACAAAATAGGTGGGAAAGGATTTAGTCTTAATTTCTTTATATACCTTTAATATGTTCTTCTGAAGCTAATTTATTGTTAAATGAAGGAACTAACAGCAGGAATCTTGCACATGCCTCCAAAGGTTTGGCAGTTCCAAACAGAAACTGAGCCAAGTGCAAATCTCAATCAACATTGTTTTCAAAATGGTGATTCATCCTCATTCTAGCCATTGTCTATCCACTGCAGGATGAAGGCGTCTTCTGGGTCCTGAGCTTTTCTTTGCCAGTTGGGACCGCACTACTTGCTGATGTCGTTGCTCCATCTTGTTTTAGGTCTCTTTCATGGACGCTTCTTATCAAGTGGGATCCATTCTTTGACTGCATTGGTCCAGCTGCCATCAGGTCTTCTTGCTATGTGACCAGCCTAGTTCCATTTCGATTCTTTTACTCTCTTGATGGAATTGTATATTTTCTATAAATGGGGATTTTTAATACATTTTTTGTATCCATTTCAAGGGATAAACTCAAATGAAAATAGTCAATGAGGGAAGCCAGACTAGCTTAATGACCACGCGATTCACTTAGCAACTGCAGTGATTTGCTTAACAACCATGGCAAAAAGATCATAAAATGAGGCACTTAACAACTGCCTTGCTTAACAATGGAAATTCTAGGGTCAATTGTGGTAGTAAGTCGAGGACTACCTGGACAGCTTTTTAGTAACTGATCTGGGAAGATGTTTCTTTAAATAAAAAATGGCCTGAGAGATATATAAACGTCACTGAAACATCGCTTTCATCCTGTGTAAGGCATCTTGTATTTTTCGAGATTGCTTTTCAGGTTTCTGATGAAAGTTGGCATAATTATCAGCTGCTAATGCAAAGATGTCTGCATCATTAAGAAAAGCTATTCTTTGTCTTAAGAAATCTTGTAATTGGCAATCTGGTGGGAACATGTAGGGGTTTTCTTGAAATGCTTGAACTTGGCTCACAACCTTCGCAATATTTCTTAAAAGAGAAAAGATGAAAGAAATAAGTAGGGTTCTTTTTCCATATTTGATAAAGTAGGGAAATAAACACTGTGTTAGGTGCTTAATATTCAATTTTCTAAAAAAACATTTATATAAAACATTCTACAATAAATAATCAAAACTTTCAATTTATCTTGCCTTTAATTATTTCATAAATTAATATACTGAATAGGTTCTTCTAACATTATTGTTAAGCTATATTAACCTGCAAGACAATATTCCATTTTAATAAATTCCATGCCATAAAAACATTACCTAAGTTTGGTCCACTTATATGTGCCATTTCGCATCGTAAATCCTCCAGTTTCAAGTTGCTGTATGTGCATAGTTAGAATATGAGCTGATGGAATTGTTGGAGATGTTTTAAATCTCTCCCCTTCCATTAAGCACAAGCTGTCACTTTTTAAAAATACCTGATATAATTAACACAGATATGCAGTCAGACATTTAGAACACAGCACAACCATTGATGGCAAAGTCTTTGCTATGCTGTCACATAGCAAATATAATATTTAAAGAGAAAAGACTTGGAATTGGAAAATATAATGGATATGTGTATATTATATACTGTATAATATATAATGTAAGTAATGTATAATAATGTCTTATATCTGGACATGGATTTTTATGCCAGATTTCAGTCCCGGAGAAAATAAAGAGCAATTGCAAAATGTTATCTGTCTTGCAAAATGTGATTCATTCAAGGAGACAGAAATGTTCCAGATCTTTGGAAGAGCAAATACTACCTATCACATATACATACATACATACATACATACATACATACATACATACATACGAACACTACTCCTAATAATCATTTTCTTTTTGCTAAAAGTAGAAGACGTTGATAGATTTACTTTTAATAAAAACAAGGTATTTTACTTCTCAAAAGTAAGTGTTTAAAATGTTCTCATCCCCACAGGTACAGGAGCTAGAGAAAAATAATTCAACATGCTTCAACTTTTGCAACTAAATCTGAAATGTTACAACTGCATCAAAAGAAACCCAAGGCAGAATGCAAGGAAAATAGAAACAAGCGAATGGATCATTCAATTTGTGTTTATCCTAGTGTTTATAAGAGAACAGGCTTTTTTTTTTTAAGTCCCCAATAGCCTTCCAAATCTTTATTCGCTCACTGTCAGAAAGGCTATGATTATGACATTTACAAGAAACATTTTGGAGCTTCTGGCCTAAGGGAGTGATAAACCATTAGGCGGAGAAGATGGGGACAGGAGTTCCAGCAAAGGCAAGCCAGCATGTAGAATTGACACAATGTCAGTCCTTGATCAGAAAGATCTTGTTTAACTTTCTGCTCAGCCTTAAACTTGTCTCTGGTTTGGGAACTGTTTCTCTGTAGGCTTCTGTCAAATCTTAGGAGGAAGGCTTGAATACAAACATAGAAAAAATAAGTAAGCTGTCCTCCATCACGGCTTCAAGATTTTCAACAGTTTCTTGAGACAGGAACACAGATGTATTTATTCCAGCTATGTTTGCATGAAAGAGGAATACTATAGTGGGTAAGGGAAGCATATGTATAAAGGAAGGCGAGAGGTCCTTGGTGCTCTCTGAGCTTGCTTGTTTACTTGCAGGCATTTCATTACCCAAACTAGGTAACATCATCAGTGCTAGTGATGATGATAGTGATGACAATACCTGGTTTGGGTAATGAGACGTCTGCAAGAAAACAAGCAAGCTCAGAGAGCACCAAGGACCCCTCATATCAACCCTGAGCTACAAATATTCTCTTTTATAAAGGAAGATGCAGAGCAGGTGTTCTTTTTTTACCATCTCCAGTCCAGTCTAAGCTGGGATAACTTGAAATAGTCTCTAATATTATTCTCTCACACTTGAGGAAGGAAAACATTGACCAAGAGTAGGGATGGTGAGCCTTTGGGGCTCAGTGCCAAGAATTCAGAAAATGCCCACCTTGACTCTACTGATATGTCACTCATTCATACGCACCCGCACAACTCAGAGAGGAAAAAAAAGGCTCTCTGGATCTCTCCTCCAGACTCTCATTTATGGATCCTCTGGAAGAGAGTGCAAGAGACCCTGATCTCACTGGGCCTTTGGAGCCCCAGAAAATGTCATGTTATTTTTGGACATTCTTGGAGACTGTCCCAAGAACAAGGCCTTCTCATATAACTTCTAGAAGGTCCAGAGAGTACAGGGAAAAAAATGGGTATATTACTTGTGATATATACAGTATATGTATGTATGTATGTATGTATGTATGTATGTATATGTATGTATGTATATTACATATATATATATAAAACATAGGTTCACCATCACTGGCCTATAGTTTCCATGCATGTTCAGATGCCCAGTATACTATCTGCTTATCCAGTTGGTGCCTATTCCTGTACCATAGATCGGGGTGGGGTGGGGCCACAGGCAAGTCATTCACAGTCAATTGTATAGTTGTGGCCCACAAACTGAGAATATGCTTGTAATGCCTCAGCCTCTAAGGGGCGCCAGTATTAAGCAAAGATTACAACAGTTTGTATAGTGACCATCTGAAGTTACAAAAGTGTTGAAAAAAGTGACTTATGTCCAATATTTCACATATACAACCATTGCCGCATCGTCATGATAAGGCAATTCAAATTCAAATGCTTGACAACTGACTCATATTTATGACGTTGCAATGTCCCTGGGGTCATGTGATCAACTTTTGTGACCTTCTGAGAAGCAAAGTCCACGGAGAAGCCAGATTCACTTAACAACCGTGTTACTAATTTAACAATTGCAGTGATTCACTTAAGAACTATGGCAAGAAAGTTCATAAAATGAAGCAAAATTCACTTAAATGTTTCACTTAGCAACAGAAATTTTGAGCTCAATTCTGGTTATAAGTTGAGGACTACTTGTATAGCATGTTGGCCATTTGATCATCTACAGAGAAAACATATGAAACAACCCTGAAACCAGGCTTTTCAGCAACTAAACAAACATTTATAGAGGAACAGCCTCTATTTTGATTCATGATAAAGAGCTTATTTGTACTGTACCTCTACAGCCTTCAGTTCTTCCAGTATGTCAGAAACTTTAGAAGGCAAGCTTTTCCAAATCTGAACAGAAATAAAAATAAATTTTAGTTTTCTGAATATTACAAGTGGAATGCATCCTTTGCGTGCTCCAAATATTATAAAAATATATTACCTGTGTAAACTACTATTAAATATGCACACTACTCACAGGCAATTGTCTGACAATGAGATTTTCCAGACCTCTGAGGATTTGCATTGCAGTGGCAAAATTTCTTTGCTTGTAGCAACACTTGGCAGTGAAGAGAAATTTTGATACCAAATTCATCTGTACCTGGAGAACAAATAGAATACATTGTCTAACAATATTTATCACTATTCTCGGCCAATGTTATAACCCATGCTTGGAATCCCAGCACTCAATGTCAAAAAACACATTTCCAGGAAAGACTTTTTTTTTTGGTACACAGTCAGGGAGGACATTATCATTATATGAAGACAACTGGAAATAGCTAAATGCTTTCAACTCCAGTTAGCTAAATGTGATAAAATTCATTACCCATTGGCAACCAAAGCAAAATGCTCACTAAAAAGGGAGATTTGGTGTCAGATTAAATAAATTACTGTAATTGTTTTGTTTGCTGAAACCACAGAGCACATCTTATATATTTTTTCCTGTGAAACTCCTCTTCATCAGATTTATTACGTAACTACAAAAACTCTGGTTTCCAAGTAATTTCTGGTTACTAAGTAATAATTATGTGCATTTCTGAGAAGGAAGGGGGGAGGCTTTATTTTTGGTTAATGATCAGAATATAGCAAGATAAAATATAATAACATACAATAAAGCATCTAGCAAATTAAATCTATAAACTTTAGAAAACTAAATAAACTATAAAATCTAATGATACAAATAGAAAACAAAGAACAAGCATCCTGGTGCATTTAACCTACCACTGCAATAAAATACATATTACATTTTAATACATTTAATATATTAAAATACAAATTATATTATCTGATGATACAATATTTAATAGGCATACAATTTCAGGGTTCAGATAATATATTCCTTTTTAATATAACTTCATTGAATTTCAAAAACCTATAAAATACAGGACATTAAAAAAAAGTTAGCAAAAAAAGCAAGAAAAAGAAAAATTAAAAGTGTAAACAATTAAGCAATTCTTCCCTTTTGGTATCTGCAAGGAATGTTGCTATATTTAGAGACATTCAAGAAACTATCTCAGACAATTGATACCCAAGATAAACTACACTTGATTGTCCTGTACCATTTGCTAATCATGCTATTAAATGGAGTGCCAGTTTGGTAATAGTTAAGGTACCAGGCTATAAACCAGACCATCTTAGGCAGGAAGCCATCTGGGTGGCCTTGTGCCAGTCATTCTCTCTCAACCCTAGGAAGGAGGCAAGGAAAAACCACTTCTAAAAATGCCAAGAAAACTGCAGGGACTTGTCCAGGAGTCAACACTAACTTGAAGACACACATCCACACAGATGTGTTAAACGGCACACACAAATGGCTGGGGAATTCTGAGAGTTGAAGTCCACACATCTTAAAGTTGCCAATTTCAACAAACACTTTTCTATAAGAAATGTTCTTATACTTCCCTTTCCAAAGAGCAGTTGGTAAAACATCAAATCACAGCTCATTTACTTTTGTGCAATGCTATAGACAGAAAACCAAATCTACAATATCAGCTTTAGAGCCTGAGTGACAAAAATAGATTTGCTTAGTAAGGAAAATGACATCAAAATAGGACATGTCAAAAAATGATTGATTTGAAAATTTTCTCGATATGTGGAATAGGAAGACAAGACTTGACGATACCACCATATTCCTCGCTTGCTGTTCAGTGAACCTATATCATATTCAGCGTTGATTAAAGAACCTATCCAAAGTCATACTGTCAGGCAATCTGTGTTAGTAAACAACAAGGATTTATGTCTACTTGAATGGGCAACAGAGAGTCTCTATTCAGCTATAGAGACAAAGTGCAAGCACCAGGTAGGTCTCTCAAATGCTGGACCTGTCAACTCACTAGCAGGCAGATGATTTGTAGGAGAATGCTGAAACCAGCACAGCTGCAATGAACAGGTCAACAGAGTTCCACTTACCCATCGAAAAGGATAGATCTGTGCCCTTGTACTTCTCATTGTATAAAAACAAAGCCGAAAGGTTTAACCTCACCTCTATGGGCTGGAAGGGATTTCAGAATGCTATCATTATAGGGGTGAAGGTAAACATTTTTTTTTAATGTAATTCAGAGGTAACAAAAGATTTCTCTGACAGCAAAAGAGCCGTGATGGTGCAGTGGTTAGAATGCAGTATTGCAGGCTAACTCTGCTGACTGCCAGCAGTTCGATCCTGGCTCAAGGTTGACTCAGCCTTCCATCCTTCCAAGGTCATTAAAATGAGGACCCAGATTGTTGGGGGCAATATATGCTGACTCTGTAAACCACTTAGAGAGGGCTGTAAAGCACTATGAAGCGGTATATAAATCTAAGCGCTATTGCTAATGCTATTGTGTTTCCCCAAAAATAAGACCTATGCCAAAAATAAGTCCTAGCTTGATTTTACATGTATACCCAATACCCCAAAAATAGTTTTGGGGCAAGGCACCCACATAAAAATCAAGTTAGCGTGTGGGGGTGGAGCTGCTCCACATGCCCTGCACCCACTTACTTTAGGACTGCTGCAGCCAGGCCTCCCACGCCCTGACACCTGTCATGCCACCGCCTGAGTTCTGCAGCCACTTGTGGCCACTCACAGCAGGACGCCACGAGGCTTGTTGCGCCAATTGCACTGCTGCCGCTGCTCGTGACTGGAGGCCATGAGACTCGTCGTGCTGCTTGCGCCAATTGCAGCACAAAGCCACAAGGCTTGTCATGCTGACCGCAAGTAGGCGCGGTGAGCCTCACGGTGTCCAGCTGTGAGCAACAGTGGTGCAATTGGTGCAACGAGCCTCGCAACTTCCTGCTGCAAGCGGCAGCAGCGTGATGGGCCTTGTGGCCTCCAGCTGCGAGCAGTGGCAGTGATGCAATCGGCGTGACAAGTCTTGCAATGTCCTTCCGTGGCTGGTGGCAGTGGTGTGATGCACCATGTGGTGTGCAGCTGCAAGTGGCCACAGAAGAACTTGCACAGTGGTGCAACAGGTGTCAAAGCATGGGAGGCCTGGCTGCAGTGGTCGTAAGGTAAGCGGTTAAGACATCCCCGGAAAATAAGACCTAATGCCTCTTTTGGGGACAAAAAAATAAATAAATATAAGACCAGGTTTTATTTTCAGGGAAACACAGCATTACGATCCTACTTTCTTCAGAGAAGAAATATGCATTAACCATATAAGTAAATCACAATAAAGGATCATGTACACAGGCACACACACACACATTCCTAAAATAGGAATTCATACCTTAGAGCTGCAGCTGCTGACAATTTCAGCAGCAACCCAGGTACTGATGTTATCTGCATATTTTAAAAGCTGCAGGAGGTAATCATCTTGGACACAGTTTTTCACAAAAAGGTTATAGGCTGGAGAAGAGAGCAATTCAGAGGAAGAAGCCCTGTAAAAGAAAAACAATTTATAATACTTACAGCCTAAATCTAACTATGCACAAGCTAACACAACTCATTGCAAGGAAAGTAATGAATTGGAATGTATGTATTTCCAACCTGAAGGGATGTAAGGTCAGAGCTCAAAAACCTAAATTCTCAGAATGTATCATAACTGGCAAGTACAAGGTTAAGCACAAAGTAAATGCCTTGGATAACTTATCCTCAAGTTATCCAGTCTTTGATTTGCCTTCCTTCAAAGCCCAGATGGTGCCAGGAATAAAACTAGACTTCTGAAATTCTTCCTATCTCACACCGTCTTATGTAGATCTATATAAGTTTTTATCATGAACCGCAACCTCAGAGATGTTGCAGTGAACTTGCAGGGACACCAAAGGATCTTTTAGTACAATATTTAATATATAGAACAGTTAGTGAGCTTGTTGAGGAGCCCCAGGGCAGCATGGTCTGGATTGGGAATAGCTAGGTGCTTCCTTAACTGAGAAAGTTTGAGAACATCTGCCTTAGAGCTAAACTTGTTCAGATGGTTCTGATTAAATGCACTGTCTTCTATTCTGCCATTTTAATCCATCTAAGAAAGAAAAAGCATCAAAGGGTTTCTGCAGAGTCACCACATATCAATAGAAGGAGCTAGTAAATAACGGCTCTAGCCTGTAATTAAAGTTAAGCAGATGTCAACGCTGCTAATATTGAATATTCTTGCTTTGACAAAATACGCAGAACTGTCTGGCATTTTTAGAGTTAATGCAGATGACAGAGAAAAGGGACGGGGGGGGGGGGAATAACAAAAGCCAGAGAAAAGAAATGGAAGTGAATCTCTGCCCTCTGGGCTAATTGGAAGATGTGACTTGTGACTGCAAGATAAGGGAGGGGTTTAGCAAGAAAAGTTAGATGCCAGCAAGAGGAATTCAGATTCTGGCATAAACCTCCATGATGTGCCGTCAATTTGTAACACTGGTAATAAAGGCTTTAGGATAAACATGCCTGGAAGTTCTTTGAACTGTTTCATTAGTCGGAACCATGACAGCAGAAGCTAAATACTCTGGCATGTCAGCAGTTTTCCACTTTCATCAGTAGGGCTGGCTAAATACCAAACTTACTTTGGGAGAAGCATAGTTTTATCGTTGACCCCGAGCAGTCTTGAATTTAGAAAATGCACTGGATGACATTTATGGAATATTTCCTAAACAGATGAAAGAAAATCACTATGTATTATATATTCTATTTTGCATGGCTCCATTATTGTTTTTTCTAATCCAAACTCACATAGTCTCTTAGGAAATGACCTCCCCAAAAAACACCAATTATACCAGTAAAACAAGGAGCATCAGTGGTATTTCTTTACATTCCATCCATGTCTCTCTCATTAAGAGCCTTTTTACAAGACAATCACAGCAATTTTAGTCCAAAAGAACTAATCCTGATCCCAGCTGAAATACATTCTTAGCAGCTTCATTCTATAAATAATGTGAGTCACTGATAGAAGTGAGCATCTGGTCAATTTTCTTTCAGCTTGGCCTTTTTATGATTTGTGGACTTCAACTCCCAGAATTCCTCAGCCAGGCATGCTGGCTGAGGAATTCTGGGAGTTGAAGTCCACAAGTCATAAAAGGGCCAAGTTTGAAGACCCCTGTTCTAGCTAGATTGGAAAGCAACAAACCAACAAACCCTCAAAAAGGAATGGTAAACAACCTCTTTCTGGTTGCCATAGAAAATATAGTGAATCTGTCCATTTAATCTATAGAAGTCAAATGGAGATTGAATTGCTGTTTGTATCTTTCAAGTCCAATATAGGTTTCTTACAGATGTACTATTCCTCTTTTAAGGGATTAGGGAACATTGTTACTCATAAGGTATTGTAATAATACTTTATGAGGTCCAGGTAGGACTGAAAAGTTGCTTGCTATATAGAAAGGGAATGTGGTCACTGAATGTATTTATGCATCAAAATTGCTAGGGGGAATTGCTGTGTATAGCAATGGGTGTGGCCAGAGACCTGAAAGGATGTTATCTTATAACTTGAAATTCAGGGATTTTACTCTAGCAATATATTTATTGTACATATTTATTGTAGAATATGCTACACCAAACAATTTCTTTCCCAAATAAATAGAACTTTTCCTAAAGTTCAACAACTTGAACTTTTTATGCCACCCAAAGTTCACTTTTCATGAGATGGATGGGCATATAAATTTAATTAATAAATAAGTTGATTTGGGGAAGAAATTTGTGCTGAAAATGGCTAAGGCTATAATTTCAATTTCATTGAAGTTTTTTTTAATAAGCAGAAATCTTTTTTTTTTAATCATTATTTAGTTCTGCAATGCCATCATCCCCAAGATGTCTCTCATACTGATGTCCAGACTGAAAAATGTCCCCTTCCATGCAGGATAACATTAAAATAGCACAAAGGTTAGGGTGGTCCTAAGGTGTGCACGGGGTCTAAATGTTCCCTCTTTGGACAGAAGTTTCTCAATTTGTTCTAGTCTGACTCCTGGCTAATGGTCATTGTCATCTCTTGTTCCATCATGATCATTCAAAGAAGAAAAGGAAACTTTTTAATACTGTGATGTTTAGAATTCCTCCTAGTAATCAGATCAATGTTCCTACAGAGGTTTTCTTTGCAATAACTGAAAAAAGCCCCCCCCCTTTAACTGTCATACTATCTAGAGTCTATCTTCTGCTATATTCTTATTTTAATTTTATAGTGTAAAGAGCTAGAAAAGGAAGGAGAGAAAGCAGTGATAGAGCTAAACTTTGCAGGTATTGTCTGATGAGACAAGTTGACACCATACCTCACACAACAAATTTTATTCAGAACAGGCAAGTTGTTAGTTGTTAAAGCCATTAGAATGTTTTCAAGTACAAAAACCGGGCTTTCAAATATTTAACAAATTTGTATGCTCCTAATCATAATTGACTCACTACATTACCACCAGATCAAAATAAACAACAATGAATAAAATGCCACATAAATTAATTTCCCATTATTAATCACAATAAAGTTAATAGTCAACATTATTATAATTATTAATTTAATATTATTACATTAAAAAATGAAATCCAGTTCTGGATGGTGCTTAGTCAGTCCCCAAATTGACTTAGATTATTCTAACTGACATCAGTATTACTACTATTGCAAAGATTAAAAAAAAAAAATACCGCTCAGGAACTCCTAGAGCAATATTTCTCAACATTGGCAATATTAAGGCTGGCAGATTTCAACTGCCAGAATTCCCCAGCCAGCCATGTTGGCTGGGGAATTCTGGGAGTTGAAGTCCTCCTGCTTTAATATTGCCAATGTTGAGAAACAGTTCTAGATCCTTGAGTTTCACATTGCTTGTTGTGATGGAGAGATTTTTTATATCTATTTCCTGATACAAGATTCCTCATTCAGAGGCAAAGCACTACAGCAGGAGTAAGCAGAATAATGCACACTGGCATCAACATGATCTGAAACATCTGCCTTGGTGCCTCCCAGGCTCCCTGCTCTAACTTAAAAATAAAAATAAAAAAAAGAGAGAATTAAATAGGAAGTTGGCACTTTGCAAAGAGAAAGTATCAGCATTTAACATCCTTTTAGAGCAATTTGTCTGGACCCCACAAAGGGCTATTTTGGCTTCTGCTAAATGTTTCTTGATACCAACATGATTATTTTGGGGGCACTTTTGAATTTTATCCAAGACACTTACTCTTTTTACTGACTGAAAGCTAGAAATTCAAAATACATACTTCTAAATAACTTCTTTCAATTGGAATGAAAACTGGTACGATTTGTCCGGTAACAATGCTCTAGCTTGCCTACAAATTTCATCCCATTCTGGAGGAAAATAATAGAATTTACAGTAATTTATATGTGATGTTCTCTCTTGGGGTCAGTGAGTCAAATCTGACAACCTCTAAGGCAAGGCAGCAAAAAGTAAGCTATTGACATGGTTTTAGTTTGATCTTTCAAAATGGATTCAGTGCTTTCTCCAAATTCTGAATATATTGTTATATATAAAACTGGAGTGTTTACCTGTTCTAATAATGTCAGCTGACAATAAAGTTGTTGTGCAGTATATTCAGTTAAGAAATATGGAGCCTCAGCTATGTTGAGGCAGAAGCCAGATAATTCTTCTGTTGCGGGTCTATAACACAACTGGGATTCAGTGCCTTTTGAGAGTCTCCGGCTAAGATGCTATTTGAGAAGGACAAGAACCATTAGCTACATCTTTCACAAGCAAAATTGAAACCAGTCTTACATAAGATAAATAATTTAATATTGTATTAAATATTATATACAACTATATACAATTATGTACAACTATACAGGTAAGAGTCTTAGATTTTCCTCACATAATAATTCTTCATAATTTTCTTAATTTCAACACTAATTTATTCAACAGCAGAAGAGATTCTACAAATATGACCAAACAGGAACCACTTTGAGAAATTTATTTTTTCTAGATTTTATTTATTTATCTATTTATTTATTTATTTCTCTCCCTTTATTATTTTTACAAATAACTCAAGGCAACAGTGAACATACTGAGCACACCTTCTTCCTCCTATTTTCCCCACAATAAGAGCCCTGGGAGATGGGTTGGGCTGAGAGAAAGTGACTAGCTCAAAGTCACCCACCTGGTGTTCAGGGTGACAACAGGACTTGAATTCACAGTCTCCTGTTTTCTAGCCTGGCGCCTTAACCACTAGATTTATGAAAATAAATCATACATCTCAAATTATTTCATGCAATTAACTGCTCTTTGGTTTTGTCTATAGCTAAGAAGGGAGATTAGAAGATGCGACCCATGGAGGGCTCCTTTTCATAGCATCCGATAGAAGTTCTATCCACTCAAAATCAAGATTCACCTCTTAATTTAGACGTAAACCTTCCATGATAACTTAGCTAAGGCACTCTTTCAAGCAGCAGTCCTAAATAAGGCTACTAAGCATAGTAAGAAAGAATAAAATTGGATATTATCATATATGACTATAAAGCAAAATTAGGGAATTTACCTTTTGTAAAACATTTCCTGTATCTCTTTTGCATGAAAAACGTAACGATCGTGTTTCACGCCTCTCCATCTCTTGTTCCCAGACTTCCATCTTGCAGAACTGAGAAACGTTTCTCTCTTTTTTACTAGCAACGTTATTAAGTAATGACAGCAATTGTCTGCCACAACCATTGAGTGGAACTACCTGCAAAAAGTCCACAGTTACATTCTTTTGCTTCAAACTGTGTCTTAACCTATCTGAAATAAATTTTATTTCCATTCCCCCACATTCTCAACCAATTATATTTAGAATAAAGCACTGGAATATTATATGCTGTAATTTAGAGGTGATTTAGAAGATATTTATATCACGTTTTCTGTCAAAACAGTTAATTACCTGAGAAATGATAAAGTCTTTTAATATTTGCATGAAATTAGGGTTTATGCTAAAGTCTACGGTGTAACAGTCTTCGATCCAAGCTTGAAGAATGGAGAAACTACGGTGGTATATTTTGCTGAACAATGAACAAGATTCTGGGCTGGAGCTAAGAAAATTAAAAAATTTTTAATGAACAGGTGTTTTCACCCTGGCATAAGCATTCAAAAAGATTGTCTTTCAGCTTGTTACATCACACGTAATAAAAATGTAATTTTTAAAATCAAGAAGAAAAACTTGAAATCCAATTATAGATTTTAGCCTAAAGAAGAATGTGCAATCAGTGAAAGAATTGATCAAACTTAAAATGATGCCCTTGGGAATTTCTTTAGATCCTCTAAAAATGCACCACCAGTAACTGTTTTGGCCATTTTAGGCAAATGGCCAAGATCACTTTCCAAACTGCTTGTTAAGTCTTACGCAGCTCCTTTTAAACATGGTTTTAGTATTGCTTTGAAAGAACTCTACAGTTTAAAATGTTCTACTAGTGCTGATCCCATAGTATATCAAGTTCAACCATTAAAGAGAACTAGCTTCTATTGGTTTGTGCTGGCGGCTCTGATATCACTGGGGGAATTGCTTTTGTCAGTGAGAGGTTTCGTGGGGCTTCTATTTTCACTGTTTCTATTACCTGAAATAGGGAAAGTGACTCTATTTTGCTTGCTTCATTCTGGCTCCATATGTAGGAGATGATGCATCATCAGTCATGAGTCCCTATGGGCCCATAAGAGATCAAAGTCCAGCCCACCTTGAATTCCTTTCTTAACTCCCGTTAATTTCCCTTGACCGTTAACGGTTCAGATTCTTATAGAGAGTTTAAGCTTGCAATAAATAAATAAATCTTTATATTCATTTGAACTGCCTGAATCTCCTGATTTCCCCGGCGCTTGACACCATGGCCACATATAGACTATTCCTAGGTGATGCTGGGCTTAGGGCCAGGATTGCCATTCCTTAGCAGCATTAATCAAGGATGGCGCTCATTCCTTACTGATCACTCCCTACTTCCCTCTGCTACTCTCGTCTTCTGATCTCTCAACTGGGTTTCATGCTCATTTGGAAGAGTGCTAAACTTATGTTTAAAAATAGATATGGCACTATTCCAAAAGACAGTTAAACCTATTTAATTCAACTAATTGGTCACAGGTAGCTAAATACAGGCAGTTCTTAACTTACGACAAAAATTTTAGCCCCAGATTTTTGTTGCTGAGTGAGAAATTTGTTAAGCAAGTTTTGCTCCATTTTACGACTTTTCTTGCCACATTTGTTCAGTGAATCACCGCAGTTATTAAATTAGTAATACGATTCTTAAGTCAATCTGGCTTCCCTATTGACTTTGCTTGTCAGAAGGTTGCAAAGAGTGACCTTCTGGGACACTGCAACCCTCATAAATGTGAGTCAGTTGTAAAGCATCCAAATTTTGATCACCTGACCATGGGGTTGCTGCAGAGGTCATAAGTTTAAAAAAGGGTCATCACTTAGTTTTTTCAGTGCTGTTGTAACTTTGAACGGTCACCAAACAAACTGTTGTAAGTCGAGGATTACCTGCAGTCCTTTCCTGTCAACAATCACCCAATCCTTTCTGTTAGAGCAGTGGTTCTCAACCTGTGGGTCGGGACCCCATTTGGGGTAGAATGACCATTTCACGGGAGTCGCCAAACAACGCAGTCCGCCATTTTTTCCCCTTTTCCTTAGCTGTGCTACTCCCTTTTGAAAGCCAATAGAATAGACTCTCTTGAACAGAGTCTAATTCTATTGGCTTTCAAAAGCCAATAGGAATTGTCCAGGCTGTCTCTGCCCTGCTGAGCCCGCCAAAAGTCCCATTCTGCAAACGGTGCTGCACCAGTTGAGTAGTCCTCGACTTACGACCGGTTGAGTAGTCCTCGACTTACGACCGGTTGGGGGTCGCGGCATTAAAAAGGTCGAGAACCACTGTGTTAGAGAGATATTTGGTGTAAGAGGAAATGAAAGTAAGAAAATCTGCCAATCACCTTCCTTACTTTGTTCTGCGCTAAAACTTTAAGGACAGCACATTTGCTAATTTAGTTATTATGACAAGAAAAAGGCTTGGTAATCCAGGTAGGAAATCTAAAGGTGGCAAAAACTTCAACTTTGACTACAAATTAAGCAAATCTTCATAATTATGAAAAGGCACATAATGAAGGCCACTTAAATACTAGTGAACTTACATGTACCTGATTTCAATGGGATTTCATTACTTACCCTGGCAAGGTAATTCTGATCCTATCAAGAATAAATTGTAAAAGTTCCTCTTGTGAGCAGAAGTAGCGAAAAGTGAATAGAAACTGTTGAACATAGCCTTTTAAAAATGCATTTCTGAAGAATACAAAGGAAAACAATGAAGCAAGCTAAAATATGCTTTATTGGACTCAAGAATAACAGAAAAATAGGAAGCAAAAGAAAATTATTCAATTAGGTATCACTTAATATCACATTTTTTTGTTGTTCTCTCTGAAATAGTTTTGTTAAATGCATGATATCAAGTAACACATTTCTTGACTTTACTGTGAGCCAAAAACACTCTTAAGCTGCAGTCTACAAATTTGAAAAAGCAATTTTGTTTCTAAAAACTGCAGAATTAAGCACTCACCTAAGAAGTGGACAAAGCTACTACAATTTCTGTTGGTCTGGATGCTTAAAAATGTAGTAAGAAAAGGCTTACTACATTTTTAAGTTAAGAAATAACCATTTATCTTGCTTTCCTAAGCTTTTACATGACAGGGGCCTTTTTGCTGGACTCTAGACCAAAAAATGTGAGAAAAACAGATCAGCAGTCTTCTTGTCCCCTGCCTGCCCCATGCCTAGATTTTTTAAAGGTTTGAAAAAAATGGTAAGGACTCTAGCCTAGTAATCATTCTTTTCTTCTTTTGTTTTTGCAAACTATCCAGTGGGACGGGCACTAAAATATGTTTGACAGTCATTCTTCTTTTCTAGACTAAATTATTGCACAAATTAACCGATTACAGGTAGTCCTCGACTTATGACGACAATTGGGACACAATTTCAGTTGCTTAAGCAAGGCAATTGTTAAATGAATCATGCCTGATATTACGATCTTTGCCACAGTTGATAATTAAATAACTGCAGTTGTTAAGTGATCACGCAGTCATTAAACCAATCCAGCTTCCCCTGTTAATTTTACTTTGATCACGTGACAATGGTGATGCTGCAGTGGTTGTAAGTGCAAGGATTAAGTTACATTTTTTTCAGCGCCATTGTAATTTTGAGCAGTCACTAAATGAATGGTTGTAAATTGAGGACTAACTGTATATACAGGAGAACAGTTGTGCTTTTATTTCCAGTACATAATGTCCTATTAATTGGAGATAAGAAAACCAAAAGATCTTGAAGATTTTTGATCCCAACTCCAAAATGAATGTAAATCATTTCCCTCGATTACTGAGAAATGAAGGAAAAAAGATCTTGTGAACTAAAAAATATTTTAATTGTACATGAAATTTCTCCATTTAGCCTCTCAACAAGCATTATATTTCCACAGATAGGAAAACTGGAAAAGTCCTATAAAGCTGCTGTACCTAATGAAGTAGATACATGAGCTAGATGAACCAATATCACATTTTCTAGGGAAAACCTGAAGTGGCCTTAAGGCTGGAACTGATACTCAGTTTTATTGTACCATAATCTCTAGTGCAAAAGAGGCTGTACCTGGAATACAGATATGCCATTAATGCAAGTGGCGTTCCGGCTTGAAGACTTCTTGGGCAATTCTGACTGTCATTATACTGAATTTCACTTGGGGTTTTGCTTAGATGATAAAAAAGTAACATGCCATCTAAGGCACTGATGTCCGATGGTTCATTTCTTCCCATATTAACCACTGTAAGAAAGTTGCATGGCTCAACACCCCATTTTTCTGCATACAGAATCTGCAACAAAAGGAGACAAGAAACAAACAAACAGAAAAAATACAGAGGGGAAAAAAATGCTTCCAAAAGATGTGGGGTAAGAAGGGGAAAAATGCAGTACAAATATGGTATGCAGGGGTGTGTGGGGAGTTGGGTTTTTTTTTTTTTGGTCTTCAAGTCAGTTTTTGATTCCTGCCAACTACCTGGACTAGGACTATTTCTAAAACGGGTAGGGATATGCAGCAGAAAACAAATTAGTCATTACCTTAATAGGATTGTTGAATGTATTTATTTTGTCCTACGCCAGGTGGTGATAACCCACTTATTTATTGCCGAGTGCCAGGTGGGCATGGCCCACTGGGTGGGTGTGGCTCTGGTGGTCATGGCAGAATGGGTGGGTGTGGCCATGATGGGCGTGGTCATCTCGATGATGCTCATGGGCAGGGACTCCTTTGGGGGAAGGACACGGTTGGGGGAGATCCAGGGGATCTCTGGTAGATGGGACAGTGGGCAGGAGGCTCGTCCTGAAGGGTGAGGGGAGGCAGGGTGGGGGTGCCATTGTCGCAGGGCAAGGCAATGGAGGGGCCAGGGCGGCTGCTTCCTGACACTATCAGCACAACCCCCACACACAGAGGCCAGCAAGCACATGGGGGCTGACGGTGTCCGGCAGCAGCCACAGGCTGCCGGCCCCTTGACCGGCGCACTCTAGGGCTCTGCAGCCTGCTGCCAGCAGTTCAGAGAAGGCGCCTCTGAGCTCGATGGCCGGCCAACAGCTGAGGAAGCGATGCAGTAGGTCGTACCCAGGAAAAGAAGAGCATGCGAGGCCAGCAGGGATGGGATGAAGGGGAAGGAAACCAGCCATGCTGGGATGCATCCGGCCATGTGGGACCTCGGTGAGTTAGCAGGCAGCTGCTTGAAGAGGGATGGTTGCCATCTCTGGGGCATAGTGCGCGTGCCCACAGAAAGGTCTCTGAGTGCCACCTCTGGCACGCATGCCATAGGTTTGCCACCACTGCCATATGCTATAAATTTGAATAATTTTGTACTGAACGATGCCCTACGGCATGGCAAAACTGCTTCCCATGCAAAACACTGGGCGACATCAGGAAATATAAACAGCATTCCACAGATGCCACAAAAATACCATTTGTACATCACAATGACTTTCATTTGAATGGCTCTTTTACAAAGAGAGAGAAACCGTGTGGATGATGAAGAATCCAACTTTGCAGCTTTACTGAATTAGAGCAATTATGTTGGACAAGTGCAGTTGTCACCTGAATAGTATGTCAATGCATGGAAGCCTAGACATTCACTGATATAGAAATAGACGTCCACACCCAATTTTTGAAAACTCACATAGTTACCTGGAGATACTTCTTCACGAGTTCAAGAAACTGTATCTTTGATTTCATTTCTTCTATCTGTCTCTCCAGCTTTGGCAACAAAGCTTTTATTTCTCCACCTCAAGATTTGAAAAGTGCAATCAGGACCACGTTGCATCAGCACAGATGAACAATTGCTATAAGACAGTTGTTAAATTCATTTCACAAATATACCTTTGCTGCTTCTCTCTTTATACAACAGCCTCTGGTGGAAGGTTATGGTCTTCCTGTAATTTTTTGTCTCGATCATTATCAGCTGGTCAAGTTCCTGGTGGAAAAGGCACAAGAAAATGAAAGTGATGCCATTTCTCTGTGGACTTCTAATAAGGAAAACTGAGTAGCATAAGGATCAATTAACAGCACATTCTTCAAAATATTTAGTAGTGCTTCTTGCCATGGTGGTGCAGTGGTTAGAATGTAGTATTACAAGCAAACTCTGCCCACAATCTAGAGTTCGATCCTGACAGGGTTCAAGGTTGACTCAGCCTTCCATCCTTCCAAGATCGGTAAAATGAGGACCCAATATGCTGACTCTGTATACCGCTTAGAGAAGGCTGTAAAGCATTTTGAAGTGATATATAAGTCTAAGTTCTACTGCTATTGCTGTGCTTCATATTAGATCTTCCCAGTTCCTAGCCAATCCCTCTGATACCTAAACCTGGATATCATTTATAATTTGCTCCAAGTGAAGATATGATCCTCCACATTCTGTTTCAGTAAGTTCTAGACCATGGGTGTCCAATCTTTAGGTTTGCCTGGGCTGCTCTGAGTGAAGAGGAATTGCTTTGGGTCACATATAAAATATATAATATAGTTCATATATATGGATCACATAATCATGTTAAAAGTTTATGATCTTGTGGTGTCACATTACTAGCTGTCCAGGACTGTATGTGGGCCTATGAGCTGTGGGTTGGACACGCCTGTTCTAAATCATATCCAGTGCAACACGTGAAAGGGAAAATAGAAGCTATAACAAGTCATAATGTACTGTATCTCAACAGTTTCTTATAAGCCCTCCAACAACTGACCATTCTGTCCGAAGTAATAAATAGTTAAGCTGGTAAGTCAGATTTATTTTAGCCTATCTCCGGATTTTATGTGAAATAATTAACAAATACATGAGTAAATGAAATGTTAATATGTTAATATTTCTTCACCAAGATTATTTAACATTTCAATTAAGTCCACCTTCAGATACTGAGAGCTCTGTTCTGGGCCCAGTGGTCTTCAACATCTTTATCAATGATTTGGACAAAGGGATAGATGGGGAACTCATCAAATTTGCGGATGACACCAAGCTGGCAGGAATAGCCAACATTCCAGAAGACAGGCTTAAGATACAGAAGGATCTGGACAGACTTGAACACTGGGCGCTATCTAACAAAATGAAATTCAGTGGTGAAAAAAGCAAGGTTCTACATTTAGGCAAGAAAAACCAAATGCACAGCTATAGTATAGGGGGTACCTTGCTCAATAGTAGTAACTGTGAGAGGGACCTCGGAGTCCTAGTGGACAATCACCTAAATATGAGCCAGCAGTGTGCTGCAGCTGCCAAAAAGGCCAACACAGTGCTAGGCTGCATTAACAGAGGGATAGAATCAAGATCACGTGAAGTATTAATACCACTCTTCAATGCCTTGGTAAGGCCACACTTGGAATACTGCATCCAGTTTTGGTCACCACGATGTAAAAAAGATGTTGAGACTCTAGAAAGAGTACAGAGAAGAGCAACAAAGATGATTAGGGGACTGGAGGCTAAAGCATATAAGGAACGGCTGCTGGAATTGGGTATGTCTAGTTTAATGAAGAGAAGGACGAGTGGGGACATGATAGCAGTGCTCCAATATTTCAGGGGCTGCCACAAAGAAGAGGGTGTCAAGCTATTTTCCAAAGTGCCTGAAGGCAGGACAAGAAGAACAGGTGGAAACTAAGCAAGGAGAGAAGCAACCTAGAACTAAGGAGAAACTTCCTGACAGAACAATTAACCAGTGGAACAACCTGCCTCCAGAAGTGATGAATGCTCCAACACTGGAGGTTTTTAAGAAGAGACTGGACAGCCATTTGTCTGAAATGGTATAGGGTTTCCTGCCTGAGCAGGGGGTTGGACTAGATGACTTCCAAGGTACCTTCCAACTTTACTATTATTATTATTATTACTATTACTACTACTACTACTACTACTACTACTATCAGAATATTTTGACTGCCTTTATAGATATTTTTATAAATAAAAATATCTATAAAGATATTGAGAGACAATCAGGGGCTAGTCACATAGCTCAACATCTTCTTTGTGTTATTAAAATCATTTATATCCCAGTTTTCTATTATGAGATATACAAACTTACTTATCACATAAACAAACATATTTTACTTCTTGTTTTGCTGAGTGCATTTTGCCTAAAGTACAAGATTAGTTATTAATTTTTTCTCCTCTTTGAAAACTTTACAAGCTTAATAAAAATTATGAGAGTTCCTTAAGAATGAATTTATAATCCATATAAATATTAATTAGCCCTACTGAAGTTCCTACAATCATTCTAGCCAAGGGCCTTGTAAATATTTGATTGGGAGAGTCAATTCAATCAGCTCAAGTGAACCTCTAAATCAAATATGTTTTCTAAATTGAAAATAAATTCAGAATGCCCCTCAGTGGAATAGAAATGTTTGGATACTCCTGTGCATGAACAAAAAATGCTTTTTCTCTTGCAGAAATATGAATAAAATCTACCTTATTTGACAATTTGATTGGAATTTCTAAACAAAAAATCAGTTCAACATTCCAAATCAATTCAAGGTGACATCAAACCGATGATTTGAATCTGATTTTATTTGATTTACACAGCCCTATTCAAAAATATATTATCCCACTGCAACAAAGATTTGCATGTAAAGCAAAATGAATATACACAAGGAAATACTTCCAATCCCTTTTAAAGATTCATCTGTGATGGCAATATATATATTTATTTTTTTGGGATCACCAAATAATTGAAATAAACAATAAGTCCATTGCAATTATAGTTTTTCTTTTAGTAAGTACAGTACCAGCTTTTGAAAGGAGGAGGAAGAGGAGGAGGAGGAGGAGGAGGAGGAGGAGAAGAAGAAGAAGAAGAAGAAGAAGAAGAAGAAGAAGAAGAAGAAGAAGAAGAAGAAGAAGAAGAAGAAGAAGAAGAAGAAGAAGAAGAAGAAGAAGAAGAATTTTCATTATTTTCAGAAGCAACAAAGCATTGGCTTCTTGAAGATTCATTATTTACAACTATAGATGCTTATTTGCATATTGAAAAATATTTAATAAAAGTAGTAATAGGAATGCAGTGATCCAAAGCCAAAGAGTATCTCTTTGTGTTAGGAAAAAATCCTTAAGTACAGTTCAACATATGTTTTTAATTTGTTGAAATAAAAGCCATCTCTTGCTTGCCTTACAAACCTTTTCCTGAAGGTAGAGATTCTTGAGGGTTACAATGGTAATTTCTCTCATAAGAACACCAGATGGCAAGTGAATTGGTTTTATCTGTGTACTACTAAAACTCTCCTCCCTGTACCCTTTAACTGGGCAAAAGAGTGCACCATACAGCAACAATTTCTGAACCAAGGTATCTCAAATGGGCTAACCTACAGAATGCATCCAAAATCCATGACCATAACTCCCTCTCATATATTGCTCTATATTACATTCTGCCCAAGGTGAACATACAATTCTTCAGTCTTAAGAAAACAGGATGACTTACCATTTTTTTAGCATCGATATTTTGAGTTCCACGAGCTTTTTGTTTTCCAAGTTTTCTAAAATAATTGTGTACATCTAGACTGAACCATTCTGAGCCATAGAATGCACTGCTCCAACCGGGATAAAATCCAGGCAATTCAGAAAGAGAGGAAGAGCTGGAATATATATTTTCTTCCATTCTTTCTTGAATTTCTTCTTGCTTTTGTTCTGTTTCTGTAACATGTGGCCGACTGCAACCCTTTTCGGTCTGTAAACTTTCTCCCTCCATCTGCATTCCAACCAGGAGAGTTTGTGTTTCAACTTCCTTCTCATCGGAATCCATGCCAGCAACATGAACTACATTTGTATGGAAAATTAAAGAGCAAAGAAAGGAAACTGTAGTACTTTACATTAGTTATGTTCCTCTAATCTAGTGGCTAAATTTCCCACCTTTGTTCTCTGTTTTTGTATTTTATTTTTTTTATCTTCGTATGAACTTGGGCAATGCGTACATTGAGTAAATGAAATCAAATAAATTAAAAACTTTGTCTTATGTCTACACAGTATTGAATGATTTGCTATACATTCTACTGAGTTTCACCCATGTTTTACACCCATTATATATTGTTCTTAATTTACACACCACCCACATAAATGCACACAAAAAGTAGATGCTATGGAAAGTATCTCCTTATTTTAAACAGTAGCTTCAGATAGCTCTCGGGCTATTAAAAAACAAAAATGCTAACAGATGTTCCAAAGATTTTACTGGAAATTTGTCTACTTGTCCAGAAAAGTAGACTAAACAGAACATCAGGAATATTAAAGAACATCCTGATAAGCTTATGAGAACAGTATTATTAATCTGCCCTAAATGCTCCCTATGCATTTAGGAGAGTTGGAGCAGATGCATTGCTTAGCCTGCAAGTCACACAGGATGTGGCTTTTCCTACATTCCAGATAGTCAAATTTTAGCAACAGTGATATCTTCAGAAGAACCTCAACTATTATCAGAACATTATTCTGATCAATATATTTAATATTCTACTGTTTCAGATCAAATCCATTTCAGGATGACTGTATATTAGACTGCTTCATCTCATGAAGCATCATAAGTTTAAACGATCTGAGATACATGGCACTTCAACTAAAGGAACGCTAAATCTTAAATCTGATTGCTGTGTGCAACAATAACATTAGCACAACCTTCTCTAGTAGGCTCACTTGTAGCCAGTTTTCCAAGGATATACATCTTTATTTCAAAATCCCCATTGCTCTTCTTCTCCTTATATCTAGTAGACGCTATTGCTTCATAACTTGATTTAACTGCTGCGGGTTTATAGCCATTAGCTATCAATGAACGCATGACATGCCCATTAACTGTTTCATACCTTTTGCTTCCTCACTTCCACTCAGAAAAGTATTTGGTGTGCTTTGGAAAGTCTTGCTTAAATATTGTGGTTCATTAATTCTGAAAATGAGGGAGAGCGTAAGAGATGAACATCTGAATACATATTCATAAATGAAATGCTTTGGGAGGTGGAAAACTTCCAAGGTAAGCTAAAGTATTTGCATCTTCCATCATGTGTACTGTGTGAGTGCATTTCAATCAAAAAATGGAAAAGCTTCAAAGCTTTTAGACATTCAAAATACATGGTACTTTCTTCAGTGGAACAACTTCATACAGTGGCTAGCTAAGGTTCAGATAAAACATTAAACAGATAGAATTTCATCAAGCTGTGAATGATAAAACTTTAAATGCATGTGTACAATTTTACCACCTGTTCTCTCTAGACACCTTTACAACATGGCTATTAAGGGGGAAAAAAAGTCCTATCTTTATGTTGACTCAGGCTTTCAAATATTTATGTTCCCTGATCTAGCTACTTTCTTCACTCTATTTGGGAAGGTAGCAGCAATCCAAAGTATAATGAATTTGCCTTTTGACCTACACTTGCTACTTCCCAAATGATTACGTCAAATTTTTTTTCAGTAATTCAGCTTTCTGAAATCTCCCCTTTCTTGTCAGAGCAAAATTGCAACACAAATGTCCTAAATGAAAATAGAAGTCCACAGCATTCAGATAGTCATTTCATGCTTTAATAACATACAATGGAAAGATGTATGAGGAAATATATAAATTGTGTAATGTGTGCATTAAACAGTGCACTATTTCTAGCACACATGTAAGCCAAGCCTTGTTCCATAATAGTTATACAGCTAAGAAATATAACAAAAATTACCTTTCACTGCACAACCCTTCCAGAGAGTCCTCAAATTATGACTGTAATGAAGCCTGCTCATTACAGTTGTAAGACACAATGGTTATAAAACCTTTTTATGACGTTGTCTGCAGCGATCATTAAGCGAACACCGCAGTTGTTAAGCAAATCAATGATGTGCTCTGGATGTGATTTTGATGAAACCCAGAAGTGTTGGTTTTCAGCAAAACCATCCTAAAATGTGGCCATGTTGCCAAGTGCCCAAACTGTGATCATGTGACTGTGGCAGTGTGTGTGTGTGTGTGTGTGTGTGTGTGTGTGTGTGTGTGTGTGTATGACCGTTGGAATTTTGGATTTGGGTTTTAAGCCCCCTTTTCTAGGTAAGTTGAAACTTCAAACACTTGCACTTGCTAAGCGACCAATCGTTAAGTCTGTATATGTTTTTTTTTACTGTCTTAAGCTTCTTGCTTCATTGCTTTGAAAATGTTGGTTTTAAAACAAAAATCATTATTTTGCGTTCGGCATAGAAATCAATATGAAAAAGTATCCAACTGATCGATTGAAAGCCACTCTTCTAGTATTCTAACCTGACCTTTTGATAAACAATGATATGCAATAGAAACATTTAACTCTTCCCATCTTTTCTGTCTCTAAAGTTGCCCTGTATGTAGACAATATTTGGCAAATATGCTAATGAACCATTTGGAGACTTAATCAGAGAACAGACATGCAAGGATGTTTTTTGTCACTATCTACCAAATTAGTCACGAGAAACACTGCCAAAAGAACAGGCGTTTGCGATATAAGCTCTAATAAAAAAACCCAGCCATATGGTTTGAGTCTGTCTTGCACTTAATGCTGAAATTATGAAGCCAGACAACTTTATTATGTGCTCAGTGAAGTTTTGGAGTTAATATATTTGTATCTAACTAGTCTCTAGAGAACATACTGCATAGCTGGAACAAAAGAGATTTCAGTTTGATTGCAAAACAGCTTATGCTCACAACTGAGTGTTTTATAGTCTCTCCTGAGTCTATTCATGTTTATGTCCGTGTATTCATGTTTATGCCTATACAGATGTGCCTATCAATTTAGGCTCCTACACAATTATAATAATAATAGTAGTAAAGTTGGAAGGGACCTTGGAGGTCATCTAGTCCAACCCCCTGCTCAGGCGAGAAACCCTATACCATTTCGGACAAATGACTGTCCAGTCTCTTCTTGAAAACTTCCAGTGTTGGAGCATTCACCGCTTCTGGAGACAGGTTGTTCCACTAGTTAATTGTTCTAACTGTCAGGAAGTTTCTCCTTAGTTCTAGGTTGCTTCTCTCCTTGATTAGTTTCCACCCGTTGCTTCTTGTCCTGCCTTCAGGCGCTTTGGAAAATAGCTTGACTCCCCCTTCTCTGTGGCAGTCCCTGAGATATTAGAACACTGCTATCATGTCCCCCTCGTCCTTCTCTTCATTAAACTAGACATACCCAATTCCAGCAGCCGTTCCTTATATGCTTTAGCCTCCAGCCCCCTAATTCTTAAATGCCACAGTACATGCCTACTCAATGACTTTCTCAAGTATTTGTTCCTCTTTTTTAATCACAAAGATTAAACATTGGGTTGGTATCCAGGAAATGTGATACAGACATGGTTGTGAAAAGTGAAGGAATTCAGAATAATGGAACACACCAGATTGCAAGCAGACATTTGACCAATGTCCATTCAGAACTGCCAGAGAAAATGGTAGCCAATATATATTAAAAAGTCAATTTGGAGAGATGAGTGCTGGGAATAGTGGAAGAATTAAAACGGCAAACAGAACAAAACAGTAAGATAAGCAAAAGCAAAATTGCCATTAAAAGGTAAATGCAAGAATCACTTGCCTTTCAGGTACCACAGTTCTATCATTTGCTGCACCATAAAGATTTGCTAGCAATTTTTCGTCCCAGTAAAGTTGACAAAATTTCTCAGAAACTGCATTACAGAATGTATTGTATTGGAGATCCTTTAAGGTGAAAATATATTTACCTGATTTAAAAAATAAAAATAAAAATAGTGAGATATGTAAAAAAATTGGTTAGCTTATTGGAGTTTATTTCTCTCCCCCCTCCCCCCATTTCTTTCCAGTGTTGGTTGAAAATAACAAAGTCATATTCCTAGGAAGACAATACAAACAAAAGCAAAACAAAAACTGCACAGACCAAAATTTTTATCCTATATGTGACTTGCAAACTTAAAATATATAGCAACGCTTTTTGAGATATGGATCTGATAACTGTAAAAAAAATCCTCTAAATTACAACAAATTTTACTGACAGGTCTTATTTGCTTTTTTTTTTTTTTTAGTATTTGCAATCTGGTATGAAAATATTAAGGCCTACCTATAGCCAGGGCTTCTGCAACTTTGTCCTGAGATTTATCAAATGCAAACTCTTCTTGGATAAGTTGCACAATATTCTGCAAGGGAACATTCTGTGTTCCTTTATTCTGCTGAGACGTTTCTAGGATGAATGAACCAGCAGAATTTTGATCCACCAAGGCATCCAGTGCGTGATCTGATAAAAGGAATCTATCTTCTGCATCTGTACTGGATTTCTTCCAGGATGCAAGGCACGGATTACTTTCATAGCACTTGGTTTGAGTCTCTTTATTAATTGTTGTTGGCGTTAAACCACCCATCTTCACCTTTATGTCCCCACATTTATTTTGATCATGATAGAATTGATCCTTGATTGCATTACTTAAGGATAAACTTGTTTGTAAGGCTCTGTTAGCATCATAGGTCATTGCAGGTTCCGAAAGGAGCACATGTAAACTTGGACAACAGCTGTAAGTTGCTTTTGAATGGAGGGGTTTATTGGGTATTTGCTCTGATACTGCTATCTGCACGGGTACAAGAGTCAAAACCCTCGTCTCTGGATCCTGCTTTAAAAGAAAATTATTTATAAAAGTCATACTAGATGGGACAGTAGACTCGGGGTTAGCCAAGGGAGATGCTTCCAAAATGCATTTCTCTTGAGGCACATCTGAAGAGTCAGAAACTGGTAAGTTAGGGTTAGAGCAATTAGTATTGCTTGGAAATTCCTCTTCGGAATCCTGTTGTAGTATTTTTGGTTCTTCTTTATTATGCTCCAGAGCACCAGGCATCATACACGTAGTAGACAAATTAGAAATTTCATCACTCTTATTTTCATTGTCATTACTTGAATGTATTGGACTTCTGCTACTCACAGATGCTATTCTTGTCATAGTTTCACAGTCTATAACAGGGGTTGTAATGGCATCTCTGGAAAGCAAGAAGATGATTTATAAGATTCGCTTTGCCAACATGGGTGCTTTATTCAACAAGGTCATGTGAGACGGTTATATCAATGTGATTTTTCACACCGACTATCCATCCATTAATGGTAGCTGTGGTGTGATTCTTGCTAAAGCAACTTCAAGAGCTGAATGCTTATCAGTGGAAACAAAAGAGTAGTGGTTTATGGGTAATGGGTAGTTCTAGGTATCCAGAAGCATATAACTTTGTAAATTAAAAGAACACATGAGAAGAAAGCATTCGTACCGTGTTTCCCCCAAAATAAGACCCTATCTAATTTTTTTTTTGCCTCCAAAAGAGACACTAGGTCTTATTTTCAGGGACTGTCTTTTCCACTCACCTCGCAGCAGAGGTACTGACAGCCCTGCCAAGCCGGTCCATTCCTTCTGCAGCCAAAGGAGCAGCTTCATTCTGCAGCTGAGAATGGAACTCCGGCCTGCATTTCACCATCAGAGGCCTTCTGGAAAGGCCTCTGCAACTGAGAACCGAGCTATGTTTGGTTCTCGGCTGCAGAGGCCTTGCCTGGCTGCAACAATAAACAGGTACAGGGTGTGTGGAGCAGCTCCCCCCCACCCTACCTTGATTTATAGGCATGTGCCTCACCTCAAAACTAGAACTTATTTTGGGGATAGGTCTTTCGGGGAAATATGATATATCTTGTATACTATATTAGGAGCTTGGATGTTTAACTTCTCTTGTTGAAGAAAAAACTAAACATCAATGAATACAGGTAGTCCTCGACTTACGACAGTTCATTAGCGACTGTTCAAAGTTACAACGGCACTGAAAAAAGTAACTTATGATCGTTTTTCACACTTATGACTATTGCAGCATCCTCATGGTCATGCGATCAAAAGTCAGATGCTTGGCCACTGACTCATATTTATGATGGTTGCAGCATCCTGGGGTCATGTGATCACCTTTTGCGACCTTCTAATAAGCAATTTCAACGAGGAAGCCAGATTCACATAACAACAGTGTTGTTAAATTAAAATCTGCAGTGATTCACCCAACAACTGGAGCAAGAAAGATCTTAAAATGGAGCAAAACTCACTTAACAAACGTGTCACTTAGCAACAGAAATTTTGGTCTCAATAGTAATCATAAGTTGAGGACTACCTGTATAGGCTCATGGTTGGTAGCCAGCCCCAATCAGAGCTCCAGGACAGCAGTGTAAAGTTAAAGGAAGGTCTGGGGAGAAAAGGAAATACTCAATAGTAAAGGCAGTGGTGGGATTCAGCTGGTTCACAGCACTTCAGCAGAACCGGTAGCTAATTTTTTGTTGCCTAGGCCCAGAATGGACTGCTGGAAGTGGTATCCACACAGAGAACCGGTTGTTCACATATTTGAATCCCACCTCTGAGTAAAGGTTGTGTAAAACTCAGGGCAAGAATATTCTTGACATTTTGCTGCAGTTCCCCAAATGTTAGATGCTATGAGAAAATATATTTAAGATAAATGCAGGAGAATAAAAATATTCAGTTGGTAAGATACAACAGGTAGTCCTCAGCTTACAAGCAGTTACTTAGCAACCATTCGAAGTAATCTCAACACCACCCAAAAGATACTTATCACCTAGTTGCTCCTTCATGGTCACATGACCACATTTTGGGCACTCAACATCTGACCTGCATTTACAGCACCCTGTGGTCACATGACTATGCTTTTCAACATTTTGGCCGAAAACTGGTGTTTATTTATTTATTTATTTTGCTATTAAGAAAAATATGATTAAAGAATATAATGCACATCATTCTAAAAGACCTGATTTTTTTCTAAAAAGACTATTACATAGCAATATATTGCAACATGATGTACTAAATGAATTTTATTTTATAAATTGATATTCTTTTACCATGATTTGAAGCGGATTTGTTTGAAAGGAACTGTTAAGGTTAACCAAACTCAACTGGGGCAAATTAAAGACAACATCCAAACTTCTCTGTTGATAAAAGAAGGGATAAAGGAACAGATCCAGGGGAGTTTAAATTTGTTTCTGCAAATTTCTGCAAAATCAGATCTTTATGAAGGGATTAGCTTCATCCTAGTGAAAAAGACAGTATCATTGTACAATAAATGTAACTTGCCTCCCATTAACTGGAATTAATCATTGCTTGGACAACACACAACCAGACTTACATTTTATGATTTACATTCTGATGCAGAATAATAGGTTTAAAATGAGTTGCTGAAGAAGTGAAGGCATTTGGTAACATGATCTTTTCTCTGTTTAAAGGTGACTGGCAAGGAACTGGTCCTTCTACGGCTATCAGTTTGCTTTCATTGCTCATAGGCAAAAATCCTGAAAGTGGGAACACAATTAACAAAATGCATGCTGTTTAAAGAAAAGTGAACAGCAGTTGACCAAAAAAACATGTTTGGGCACATTACTTAGATTTTTCTTGTTAAAAAGGAACCAGAAACAGCAAGGTATTTAGAGAAAAATACTCACCTAAGTTAGCATTTCCTGAGCAACTTTCATTTTGAAAAGGCCAGCTAACATTAAAAGAATCCTCTCCTCTGAAGTCCTATCAGCAAAATAATGGATGAGAAAAGAAAGGTCTTAAAAATACTGTTTTCAGCATCCATGCACACAAATGCAGGCACTCACAACATGGTGAGAAATAGAAATGTTTCCTCTACTTTGCCTAAGGGCCTCAATTCTTTATACTTCCAATTTCAAGGAAGTCAGAAGAATATTAGATAGAAGGAACTCCTGGAGCTAAATGCCAATTCTAAATCTAGGCTATTTACAATGGTTTTCCTATTGTGAATGATAGTTGAAGCTCCTCTGTACTATTATCTAGATTTTTGTACAGGCTGCTTTTAACCTCTTTCACCTCAAAGATCCCAATGCATAAAAAAAAATAAAGAAGTTAAGTTAGTTTTCCCCAAAGCAGAGAAAAAGAAAAATCCGGTTACAGGAACAAGAAATGTTAGGTTACTGCAATACTTATTTTTGTTGCTTGAATCAATTGGCAATCAAAATGCCTTTGAAAAGGTCCAAGGTCATCATAAAACTATTGAAGGAAAGAAGGACAGAAGGAATATATACAACTATATATTCATATTTTCTCCTTCTCCAGTTCTGCTGCTATAGCAACAGCAAAAAAGGGGGAGGGAGGGATTTGTTCATCAAAATGTAGACACATGCACACCCCACCCTAAATATTCATACCTGAAATGCCATTTTTGCTAAAACTTCAAGAATCATCTTGCTGCTGATATTTTGTTCAAGCAGATAACTACGACAAATCTAGAAATATGAAATTTCATGTTGAATTATAGATACAAAGAAAGAGATGTGTATTAAAACCCTTTAAAATCATTTAAATTTATGGAGAACCTTTAGTACAGTTAAGTCAAAGTTGCTCAAAATTAATATTCTTTCAAAATCCCATGAATATGTATTGAAAACAGCCACTAGGGCAACCATACAAATTGGATGGATTACAAAAGCCAATAGGAATTTTTATTTGTTGTTACTAAGGTGGTTTATGGAAATAAAATTGAAAATTAAACTGCTGCATTTAATTCACCTTAATTGCATTTGCTAGAGAAGGGCGGTCTTCTGGCTTGCTTCTTGCCATATTCAGAAGAAAATGTTTCAGTTGCCCTGGCAACACCAATTTGTGATCAGGTGGGAAATTGCTTCTTGCCGCTCTCCACAAAATTGCAGCCATACAGTAAATACAGGCCTGTGGGAAATGGCACCGTGAAAAGGCAACTAACTCACCTAGCGAGCCTCACTTTATTTTATTTTATTCCTGGATCTTGAATGCACATGGTTGAACATCCAAATCAACATAAAACTGGGGTGTTTGTTAAAACCATAACTGTCCAACAGATTAATTACAAGCTTTCAGATCAAGTATCTATGGAGATTCTCAGTCATCCAGGTCATGGTTCTCCCAAAGATGCTTTTTCAGAAGGCAACTAGAGGCAACTGGACTTTGTTTTTCCTTGAAGATGTTTTGCTTCCCATTCAAGAAGCATGTCAGAACTGAAGAAGCTTCTTGGATGAGAAGTGAAACGTCTTCAAGGAAAAACAGTCCAGCTGCCTTTTGAAAAGCACAGTTGGGTTCAGATCAAGTAGATAAGCCTATTCTAGGGATATCTTAGGCTGACACAAGTAAGCATAGTAATGGACTTTCCCTCATCACCAAACCAAGCCACAAACACATATTAATAAATTGATCTCCAAATAGACCATTCAGCGATTGTAATATGGAATAAAGTTGAAAATGTACACTGCTGCTTTTCAGGGCTTTGACATTAAGGAAGTTTCTTACGTGAAGCTCAGCCTCACCAATCCTTGATAAGCTTTCAAATTACTGGAGAAACATATGCATGTTTGATATCCAATGACTGATCCAAGGACATCTGAACAATCCTGTGTATATCAACTCAAAAAAATGGCAAAAATGGGATAAGTTCAAATCATGTAAAAAGTCAGGCTCACCAAGTAGTCCACAAATCAATTCCACAGGTAAAATAAGGCTTTTGTATTGAGAGTGGCTAAACAGAATCATGCACGTCTGACTGTTCTGTACCTCCTCCCCTCCTTACCCCCACAAGGATTAGGGAGGTATCTGACTGAGCTACTTAGGCTTTGCTTGTTTTGGACTTAAGCCATCAGTTTCTCCTTGTTACATTGGTAATGATCTGACTATCTCCATCAAGGTCACTGTATTTACTATTTACATTAAGGTAATATTCCAATTCCTGATATGCATCTCTGGACAGTTAGCTCACTCTTAACAATATTTAAGACATTTATCTGTGGCTTTATTGTTTCACATTCCCACAGAATTTATGATTAACTTATTATTTTTTCAGCATTAATTTTTATCTCATTCAATTCCGCTCTTTAACATATCATCACTGGCCTTCTTCATATCACAATATATCCACTTTTTCAGATTTTAGAATCTTAATTATTCCTTGTTCTTGTTAATTGTATTAATTGTAACTGTCTTTTGCTTCTCTGTATATATGAGAGTTGAATGAAAAATAATACCACATATCTTATAAGTTACCAACAAATAGCAGAGGTATATGTACCAGCATGCTATTTATTCTCTAGGTGTTTTATAATTAAGGCTTGTAGGCAGAATCTCCACATCAAAAAGAATACTAAAAATCAATCAAAATTGCAGCATCCTGAAATATAAAGAAACTATGTACACTCAGTATAAATCTAGATTACATTTGTCTTGTGAGTATAGCCCTTTTTAAAGATAATCTTCATTAAAATATAATGCAAAGTTCATATATTCTAATACCTTTTCAGTAATAAAACCCTCTTCTGCTGCCTCAGGAGCCAAGTAAAACCTATCCAATGATTCTAAAAGTAAAACAAAATGCAATTGCAATTTTAATTTTTGCAACATATGAAATGAAACTTACAAATATTAACAACAACAATATATATTTACCTTCATTTCCATATGGAACAAAAGTAATACTTCCATCATGATTTATTGCTACAGAATCCAAACACAAATATGCTAGAAAACAGACAATAACATTAACACCATTTACAATATTAACAGGACTTATAACATCACTGACATCTGTTTGATTATTTGATTATAAATCAGAGTAAAATATGAAATGTTAAATTCTGACAGAGCAAAGTTCAGTGCTACTTGACCATATGTCCATTAGAAGCTTATGTAGCCATTCAAAGATGGAATGCCTTTGATAAATTTTGCTGGCTGTGGGATTCTGGCAGTTGAAGTCCACACATGTCAATGTTGCTGTAATACACTGCTTTATTTAATAGCAGAGGATTTTCTTGTAATCCTGACTTTATGTAGGAATTAAAGTAAGATGGCCGAAACCTCCTCTCAGCCTCTGGGATAAACCTAAGGAGTAGGGAAATGTTGTTCTACAACAGAGGTCCCCAACCTTTTGGGCACCAGGGACTGGTTCCATGGAGAAAAGTTTTTCCACGGACTGGAGAATGCGTGGTTTTGTGTGCTGCCTGCATCCCACAGATGGAGCTTTTCTTGTTTGTGCGGACCGGTTGCTGGCATGCCACAACCTGATACCAGTCCATGGACTGGGGGTTGGGGAACTCTGCTCTACAAAACTGGCATGATGGTGCATTGTAGGACCTTTTGGTTGGATGTACTGTAATTGATTGTGTAGTTGTTAGCACTTTGCTCAGGCTATTCAAGACCCCAGTGAATTTGAATATACAGTATGGTGGCTTAAGCAATTGTCACACTTATATTAGTTTGGTTTCTAAAAATAAAAAGAAACAAGCATAAAGGCAGAGGTCCTAAAGGTGCCGAAGCTGCAAATAAGCACATTGTCTGTGGCAAAGTTTGTGAAGTGCTAAACAAGCATTAAAAACATTCATGAAAGCCCAGAATTCTAAAATAAATAGAGAAGGACCTATTAACAATCTGTACTGATAGTGGAATTTTTACCTGCCAGATGAACACCCAGATGCTCACCTGAGATATTATTACAGAGATAAGCATCCAGACACCATCTTAAATGAGAGTTTATATAACAGTCACAAAATATTAAATGGCTATGTTAAAAACTCCCAAACCGTGCCTTTACTTTATAATTCCTTTGTGGCATATGATGGCATGGAGACAATAAAATAGAAATGTGATGAATTATTGACAATATGTATTCATGTGTCATTATACACAGTTTAAGATTCTTGTTCAAGAATGCCTTAAAGATATATCAGTCTACAGTCTACAAAAAGGGAATGTGAAGTATTCTAGCAACTGAGGCTCCTACAAGTTTCTCATGACATAGGTGGTAAATAATATCTGAATTATGGTTAACATTAAATATATAAGAAGTTCATTTTACAATCCATCTTTCTGTTGTAAGGGATCAACACAGCCCCTTATCCTTTCCTAACCTCCTTTTATTAGCTGGCTGGCCACAAGGTACAAAAGGAAGCCAAAATGCATATCTCAAAAGTACCAATTTACTCCATCTTGAGAGCTCTGAAAAGGATGAAGCATACTGTAAATATTAAAATAGTAATATAAGAGAAAATTGCAAAGGTCATACCTGGATAATCTGTATATTTCTCCAGAGTGAGTAAACATTCATGGCATAAAGCCCAGAGTTCATAATCTTTCAATGGTTTACCGTACTGTATTAACAGATGTTTCAGAAAAACCCACTGAAAGCAAAATGTTATGGACAGTTGAGAAACAAAAAGTGTTTTTGAAGGCATACTAATTACAATGTGTGTTAAATTTAAATTACATGCATGCTAATCTACGAACATAAGTTATTGCATTTGTGATATATACCTTTTCTCAAAATTCTAGATTTTTCTTCTGACTTTGTCCCAAAAATGCATATAGTAATTAATGCCTTAGTGCCTTCAATATAGATATTCAAAAGAATTACTTTTATTTCTTCTTCTAGCACACAGAGAAATAATATTTCTCATGGACATAATTAAAAATCAAAGGTTCCATAAATACAAATACCCAAAGATAATACAATATTATATAGCTATATTATAATTAGAATATGAAACTTTACAATTATATAATTGTAAAGTTTCATATTCTTCTCTAACTTAAAAATTGTGAATAAGGCCATGTAAAATGCACAGACCAGTTATTTTGAGGATTACTTTTTCACCTTTATTGGCCAGTGAAATAAGACAGAATCCTATTAAAAACAATAATATTTATTCTGTCTTTATTATTTTTTATAAATAACTCAAGGTAGGGAATATACCTTTTGCTCCTTCCTCCTCCTATTTGCGCTGCAACAACCCCCTTGTGATGTGAGTTGGTCCAGAGAAAGTGACTAGACAAACTCAGTTTCTAGCCTGATGCCTTAATCACTAGTTGAGACTAGCTCATGCTATAGATTGAGAGATCATTTGGCCTAGAAGTAATTTTAAAAATCAGGGTCAGACTCTGCAACTTGCCAGAAGAAAAATACCGTAACGCTTTTTCTTGGACCACACATTGCTATACGAACAGCAGCAAGCACAGTGTAAAACCAAAGGACCTTGCAACCAGACATGAAAAATGCCAGGAACAGCAACAACAGCACAAGAAAAAAAATATGAATTCAGCAGGATTATAGTTGATTGATATGAGAAGATTAAGACCACTCTTCCCTAGGGCTCCTATGTTCTTTAAATTATAAGTAGTGTTTTCTAATGTGAGGTGGTCTCCTAGTGTCCTTGCCTTTTCTGGTTGAGACAGCTAGCCTGAAACCTGGTTAGACAAAGGAAGCCATCTGTGCTCACCTACCCAGGTCTTGGTGATACACACCAGGGACGTCCTCTTCACCATTATTAAGCTGTGGAGGAGCATGGTTTTATTACAAACAGGCCTGGGCTTCAACAGAACTAATTGGAGTCTAAGGACTCCAGTAATCTAGCATCCAAGATCCTGGATTAAGGTAGGTGGGGAAGGGCAGAAGAAAGAATTGGAATTTAGAACATAGAATCATAGGTCTGGAAAGGACCTCAGAGGTCTATTAGTTCAATCTCCTGCTCAAGATAGGAAACTTTCTACCATCCCAATCAAATGGTTGTCCAGTCTATTTGTGAAAATCTCCAGTGATTGAGCACCCAACTCTGGGAGGTAAGCTATTCCGTTAATTGTTCTGTCAGAAAATTTCTCCTTACTTCTAGGTTGGATCTCTCTTCAACAAGCTTCCACCCATTACTTGTCCTGCCCTCTGGCTCTTTGGGGAATAAGTCAACCCCCCCTTCCCTGTGACAGTCCCTCAAATACTGGAAGACTATTCTTTCCCTATGATCCTCCCCTGGCCTTCCATCATATCTCCCCTTTTGCTTGTCATCCCCATTCTACAGTCTTCTAATGCCTTTCCCAGCCTCTGTTTCTCACACCCTGCCTTATTGCTGATTCTCAGCTGTCTACCATTTCTTCAGAATGGGGTACAGGAGACTAACTTACCACCCTGTCCCCAAGAGGTCTTCTCATTAGATGCCTCTCTGCTCCAAGTCTCTCACTCCTGCGGATGGGGCTGCTCCCCCCTCCAGTTTTTTTTTTTTTTACAAAAAAAGCTTTTCCTTTGCTCCTTGAATAAAAATGAATCTTCAGCACTTTAATTTTACATCATTCCAATGAGTAGATTTGAATTTTCAAAGCACTCTCTCTATAACTACATCCAAAATTCAAGACATTTAGAGCCCAGTCCAACTTTAAGCACCAGATTATTGAACAAAGAAGATTAACGATAAAGGAAGGACTTCAAGGAATCAATGAAGAAGCATATGTAGCATGAAAGATTCCAAGTTATTTTTTATATTCAGGATTAAAGGAACTCAGTGAACTTAAAATTTTGTTTATGGGGCACAATAGAAAATGTTGTTTAGGCAGTAAAACTGCCTAAAATTTTGGAATCTTTAGTACCAAGACAATCAATATTGTATCAAATGCAGTAATGATCTAATGCAGTGGTTCTCAACCTTTTTATACGGCGACCCCGGTCATAAGCAGGCGGCGCGCATGCGCGGCGGCACCACCTGCGCGGCACACATGCGCGGTGCCGCCCCCTGCATGGCACGCATGCGCGGCGGCGCCACCTGCGTGGCGTGCATGCGCGGCAGTGGCCCCATGCGCCATCCCCTGCGTGGCGCCGTCCCCTGCGCCGGCTGACAAAAAAAATGGAGGATCGCGTTGTTTGGCGACCCCCGTGAAATGGTCGTTCGACCCCAAATGGGGTCACGACCCACAGGTTGAGAACCGCTGATCTAATGCCACTGTTTCAAAGTTTTATTATGTATGGACCACCATCTCTTCATCAAGTGTTGAAGACTATTTGATAAGCCAAGGCTTAAGAACACGGCACTCATGCTATACATCTTTCTTCTAGCTGTCATAATACCTCACCCTCAATTAATTAGAATATTTTAAAAATTAAAGTGGACAGCCTCTGAGAAGACTTGAACATCTTTTCAGGTTTAACAAATTTCTATGATTTTGGCTTTTTAAAAATAAAGTTATTTTTATTCTGGCATCCGCATAGGGGACTACCCGAAGTGCCCTCTTGGACTGCCAGTAGTGAGGAATCAATGTTTTACTGCTAAGAGTTTATCTTATTTATAAATATTAAGAACATCCTTTTTGAACGTTTAACCTCATGTATAGTGGAAAAGAAAGCATAATTCTAAGTTTATTTTTGCCTCTGCATCCAATCTACCTCATGTTTGAAAGCTTCAATATTTCAGAGAACTCTCTTTTCTTTCTAAATGGAGGAATTTGGATTTTTTTTTTTTTAGTTTTCTTAGAAAAAAAAAATAATTTCCTATTTCTGAGAAATAAAAAGAATTCTTTCCTGAAAACTGCATCCAGCTTCTAAACAAGTTTAACTAGGGATCAGGATAATAGTAACTCTATGAAAATTATATATTGTCCACCCAGCAATAAACACATCATCTTAATTTGATTTTCACTTCTATGACAATCTGAGGTTGAAATCATCAGGACAAAGCAAGAGAAGAGTTCACACAAAAGTTCTCATTTTATACTGTAGTTCAAAAGCTATAGCAAGCATCTGCAGGAAAAAGAGGCAAGGCAATGAGATTAAAATTAGGGTTAGAGGAAAAAGACTTCTCAGTCACACTTGAATTGTTTTATTTATGAATTGCAAAGAAAAGGCCATTTTTAAAAGTCTGAAGATACAGTTATGAAGTTTTGCAGGCAAAAGCTTTGGCAGTATAATTTTGACATAAAGAAAAGAGGATTATAGAAGCATGAGAACGACATTAAAATTGACTGATCAAGCATCAAGGAAATTTATGTTATTTCTGAGACAAAAGGGAACACTAAAACTAAGAAGGCTGGAATCTGAGGAGCACATCAAGATTCACACAGCGTTGCTATTTCCAAAATGAAATACACCTAATACAAGCAGAAAGTATTCAAATCATTCCTGAACACTGAATCCAACTGCAAATTTTATTCCTCTATTTCTACTTATTTATTTCTACTCATATAATTCCCTTTAGCCTATTTATCTTATTTTACTGCATGAATGGGACGTCTTATATATATATATATGTCCCTGGCATCTTATTTTAAAACCTCAGTGTGCATGGTAAACTAGGGAATAGACCATAGCAGCCTCAGACATAAAATTGCTTCTAATTCTCCATCCACAGGTTGCTATCAAAAAACAATCCACCCACTGCCAGTGGCATACTTTTCTGATACTTTTTCCAGCATTTATTACATCAAGAAGTGATGAAAATATCCAATTGCTCACAAAAGCAATCTGCCCAATGAGTCTGACATGCCACATGTATCAACTTAAAAGAAAAAGTGAATCAAAACCTTGATCCTTATGAAACTGGCCTGCAAAGTGGTTCAAAATAGATTTGCATGCAGATAGTGATTTTTAATTTCGTGTGATAAAGTAGAAATTTACTTCACTTATATTTCAGTTGCATTAAATTTAACCACTTAAGTGTTTAAACCCAAAGGTTTATTAACAATTTCCAGTTCAAACTTTCCTTTTTAAAGTGCTGTTAATAAAAAGTTGCCCAACTAACTTACCACAGCATTCATGTGGTAAAAGAGTTTAATTGTAGAGCCACACTCTCTCATCTCCACAAAGAAATAAAGTCCTTTCTGAGTCAGATTAATTAAAATAGTTTTTAAATGAAGGATTTGTTTTTGCTACCTCATTGTTTCCTATTTCTGAGTCCCCGCCTTCATATTGTCTATCTTCAGTCCAACAGTCTTTTCTCTCAGTGTGTTTTTCGTCAGGTGATCTTAGCATGCTTAGGTTACATTCTTCCTTAAAGGCCATGAATGTGGGAGACATCTTGTTAATATAAAATAAACAGTTTTGACCTGATTTTAGAGGAACTTCATTACAGAATTCTCTTACACAATAGTTTTCTAATGCATTGCATCCAGGATTTGTTTCATCTGTTGCATCTGATGGATTATTTTGACCTGAAGTTTCAGAAACAGCATAACAATATGGCAAAATATCCACTGCTTCTTTGTCATTACTGGATGTCATGTGGTTTGGATACACTGAAGATGTATCTGGGCTCAGATAAAGTTCTCCAAAATTATTATGTGGAAGAGATGCTGATTTTGATTCGGGATGATCACACTGAATTAATTTTCCTTCTAACATAGCACTCTCATTACATCCGGGTTGTAACTGACACTGCGTCCTTGTCAGTGAAGTGTTATGTCCTATAAAAGATAAACATGCTCTTGAGGGTGTCTCAGAGTTAAATGATACAGTTGGAAAAGTTCTAACTTTCCTTAAACAGTATCTCTCAAATGTATCTGTCTCCACTCCAGTTGCATATGGCTTAGCATCTAATTCCCTGTTGTATTTCATAGAACCGCTCCTCTCTTGACTTTTTGTAACCCAGGTTGAAATACTTTGACAGCAAACTCTTTCCTCCTTCTTGTTGATTTTCATGCTTTTTATATCACTGTTTCTGTCATTTGGAGCATACGTGCCAGAAGAATTTTCATTTCTAGCAAACATCAAGTCCTCTGGTGATGGTGTTCTAGTCTCGGCCTCAGTTCTAGTATCATCTAGGCGCTCTTCATATGGTGAAGGGTTCTCATACAATGTTTCTTCCCACATGTTATCAGAACTGTCTAGATACACAGAGAGAGGCTTTCATTAAAACCATTTTTTTTCTCCTGCCCCCTCATCCCATCCTGCATTTGTTAGTGCTCTGAGAATTAGGAATTAATGTGGGGTGCTATTATCAAAAATTAAATAAGGAAGGGTCACTTGAAAAAAATATCAAAATATTGATGGCTTCCCATGATATTTTGCATGCCAATAATCTTCCTATCATTTCACAATCTGGAAGTAATATCTGGATAAGATTAGGCTACCTGGATAATTGCCCATCACCGCTTATATGCTTGCTTGAAAACTTCAACATGTCCACAGTGCCAAGCTGGAGGCTTGGAAATTCATATTTCCTTATAAAAAGAGAAGACTATTTCAAAGTACGGGTAATCCTTAATTTAGAACTGATTGTTTAGTGATCATTTGAAGTTATGACAGGCTTCCCCTGGGCTAAATACTTGTGTCCCAGATTTGAAGTTTTCACTGCCTTCTGTCACATGATTGCATTTTGGGTGCTTGGCAACCGGCCTGCATTTATGGACATTTACAGCATCCTGGGGTCACATAACTGTGATTTACAGTATTTCTTGCCAAAATCTGGCATTTACTTCAGGTTTCTGAGGGGAAAAATGCTCACTGAATAAAATGGATTCGCTTAATGACCACAGTGATTCACTTAACAACAGCTGCATAAAATGTCATAAAACTGAAGGTGATCATGTGGTGACCCACTTAACAACTAGCATGACTTAAGATTAATTTCGGGCTCAATTCTGGTCGTAAGTCAAGGACTATCTGTATCTTTTTATTTTATCCTGTACATAAACACGTAGACGTCACTTCAGCTCATACCTTTTTGGATTTCAATTCATGAGCTTCAAACATTATTTTGATATTATCACTCCAAGGGCCATAATAGGCATCAAACTTTTTTTTTTAAAAAAACCTGTACCTTGAAAGGTGCCACATGATTCAATTGAAAGCATTTTTCTTCCAGCAGCCGAAAGGGCCTGGCAAATATCACTTGGGGAGGAAAACTTGAGTTTCTCTTTGCATAATGATATGACAACCTACAATGACAATTATATAGAAAAGACATTATCAGTTATCTAACTATGTCTTCGTATGATCCAACAGATTAACATTACCTTGGAAATTTCAGCATTTTACATTTGCAGCGGTCCTATAGATATCACCTCTTTTCAACTGATAATTTATTACATGTATACAGATTACTATGTAACATATAACATTTGAAAATATTTTATGCTATTCAAAATATAGATACAGTATGATAATAAAATATAATATAGTTTATATTAGGGAAATAACTTATCTGTCTTTTCTGTACCTAAATTTTAGTTAAAATTCCGCCCTTGGTTCATTTTTTAGTAATGGACTTTAAATGAATAAAAGACTTTGAATTAGGTTTGTAATACATTATAGCAGCAAATCAAGTTTCAATGGTAAACATGCAGTATCTCCTAGATACTAAAACAGCAATTTCCGGGAAACAGAAATATAATTAAAAATGCAGTTCAAGACAAAGCATTGCATTTTGCCCTTCAGAGATTTATACTCTGGACTTGGAAAAGAAAAAAAAAAAACATTATAAGTAAACCCAATGGTGCTCACACCTTCACAAGGTTATGATGGTGATGAAAATGGAGAATGAAAAGACCACCGTTGGGTTCTTTTCATTCAGAAGCTTTGTTCAAGGTTGCTCAAGATTTATTCTGGGGAAGGGCTAGATTGATGACTTTCTGGAAGGCTGTTGTGACATATTTGTAAGATTGAAAAGATTTGGGGCCTTTATCTAAATGAAGTGGATTATCTGGATCCCTTCCAGTCTGTATTTAGACCTGGGCACGGGACCAAGGCTGAATTGATTGGTCAGATAGACGACTTAGGCTGAAACTTGGAAGAAGGGTGTATGCACCTTTGCTCCTACAGATCTCTTAGTAGCGTTTAATAGCATCCATCATTCTATTCTTCTGGATTGCATGCAGGGCAAATGGTGATACCATGTACGAAGAATCTTTCTCTGGAGTGTATGATTCTAACCGATGATCATGAGGGGAGATATCCAGTCTGGGGTTGCTCTATTGTATGGTACCCCAATGCCCAATATCACCCATTATATTTAAAATCTGCATAATGCAGCTTAGGTAGATCATCTGTTAATTTAGGATGAGATATCATCAGAATGCTGCAAAAACTCAGCTGCACACCATCACCCCAGGCCAGACATTCACTAGCAGTTGTTATTTAGCATCTGGAGGCATGTGAGGAACTGCACGGGCTAAAATGACTTTAAACTGAAGGAATAGATGTTGAGGGCTCTCCTGGCTCTTATTGCAGCAGCAAGTATATGTGATGGGCAAGGAAGCCTTTATCCAGTTGGCATTTGAAGGTCCAATTGGTTTCTGCGTCTAATTCAAAATGCTGGACTCAGCTAATGAAGCTAATGCAGGTTGGTTCCTGTCTACCTTCTAGATCAGTGATGGCAAACCTTTTAGAGACTGAGTGCCCCAAAACCGCCCCACCCCGTCCCCACTCCACCCCCGCCTGCCCGCAGAGCCACCCGCCTCCACGGCCCGCCGATCACCCAGGGGGCCCTTCAGCGCCATGGCGGCTACACCGTCCGCCCGCAGCCCACAGCATCATTTGCGCGCGATGGGGCACGAGGGCGGATTCTTGTCCCTGCTGCCCAGCTGCCTTGGCTGCGCTGCTCCACATGGACCATGCACAGGGGCAACTTTCCTCTAGGGGGGCTGCTGGTGAGGAGGGGGTCATGGAGGGAGGTGGGGCTGGGGCAATGGCACACGTGCTCACAGAGAGGGCTCCGAGCACCACCTCTGGCACGCATGCCATAGATTTGCCACCACTGTTCTAGATGATCTTCTCCTATTATCCTGTCCATGTATCCATCTTTGGATAGAATGCTTAGACTGTCTACCCCAAGAGAGTAACTTTGAAGAGCTTGCCCCTTGAGCTCCCTTTGCCCTCCCACAATCCTGTCCTTCTACAAAGCCCTGAATTTTACTTGCATGTTTGAGACATTACTAGCTGGGGAGGAATGGTGGGGAATTGAGATTGCTTTAAATTGGATTTGTGTTTTGATTTTTTTTAAAAATTGATTTAGTGCAATGTTATCAATTATTGTGGGGTTTGAGAGTTTGTTGTTCTGCTTTGTAGGCTGCCTTGAATCTTTGGGAGCTGGCAGAGTATACATGTTTGCCATAAACAAACAAATAAAATATGCGTATGAACAATGTCAAAGTCTTTGAGCCAAACAAACCAAGTAAGGTGCCAAGTCTAAAGTGAAGTATTCTGATTAACATTGCGTACAATCCTGACTTATGTTAGCACACAGTTCATTTTTCTTGATATAATTAATTATTACCGTCAGCATCATAACTGCAATGATCTCCTGTTCATTTCCTTGGAATGCGTTATTTTAAAAATTCCATTGAATGTATTTATTTAGAACGTTTGCCCCCTATAAACTCAGGCACTAGTAAGGGAAACATATATTTCCAAATTGTTATCCTTTTGTTAAAGAAGAATAGTAACTCCTATGCGGAAATGACAAACCATATTAATGCCAGACAACATGTACTGTCTGCACTTCTCTATATAACAATAATGCCTATATTTCTAGTAATATTGTTTTACCCATACTCAGCTTCAGCAAATTATCTTCTAATGAAACAGTGAAAGGAAGAGTGGATAAATGTTGCTATTCAACACAGCAAATCAGGTTCCGTTGATAAAATAATTTTACCTCAACATCTGGCCTTTCTTTAGGATTTTCTTTCTGCATTTGTCCAAGCAGAGCATACAGATCTTGGCTAAATTCCAGATCTGCTTCAGTTTCCATTGTATATTCTAGTGCTGCTGTTAAAGTAGCTCCTAAGGAATACAGATGGGCCTGCAGAAATTAAAAAAACAACAAAAACAAGACACTTTACCATGTACCACTCTGTACATAAACCCAATGTAGAACCGGAAGCTTCATCTAATGCAGAATGCACTACGCAGGCAGTTTTTGGAGCTTCACGGTGGCTCCGCTTTTCTGTGAGGTATGCTGGTTGCCAGTTTTGTTTCCAGGTCCAATTCAAGATGTTGGTTATCACCTTTATCACCTTTAAAGTCCTTCAGGCTATCTGAGGAACTGTCTCATTCACACTGGCATAAGGGAACTGCTGTGGACCCCATCAGTCAAAGAGTTTTGTTTGGCGGGGTCTAGAAGACCTCTGGAACATTGTGTCCCCTGAGGTGAGATCCACACCCATCCTTTTGGCCTTCTGAAAGGGCTTCAAGACTTGGCTATGTGCCTGCTGGCCTGGGGCCCCAATGGGGATGTGACATTGGATTAGATGACATCTCCTTTTCTCCCACCCTCCCAAAATGTGTACGTTGGTCTCTTCCTCTCCATCTTGGTCAAATTAATTTTAACTGAATTTTAAATTTAAGATCTGTATTGTTTTAAAAATTTATTTGACAATGGAATTGAATCATTGTAAGCAGCCCAGAATCACCCTTGGGAGATAGGCAGAAAGAAAGAAAGAAAGAAAGAAAGAAAGAAAGAAAGAAAGAAAGAAAGAAAGAAAGAAAGAAAGAAAGAAAGAAAGAAAGAAAGAAAGAAAGAAAGAAAGAAATTCTCATTTTTATGCCCAACATAAAAGGACCTTTATTGACATGCCATTATAGGATATTTGAAATATTTTTAAATGTAACATTTCACATTTCATGACAGTAATGCTTCTTTTTTTTTCTTGACTAAATACTTGTAGGGGAAAATTCTGTATTAAACTAATGTGGAGTCTGGAGTTAGAGCATATCTGGAAAATATTTACCCATTTCCCTGATTCCCCATTCATTTCTTTGCATTAAAATAAGATGTGAACCCCTTACAAATACAACATAAGCAATGAACAACCTTTAACTACTCCTACAATGTCTCAAATGAAAAATATCAGGATTATATAGTTCTGGGAAGGGACAAATGTGGCAGAGTTAATTATACTGAATAATGCATTTATGGATTTATGCATCGCACTAAGTTGCAATATGATTTGTTTATTTTTTATTTATTATGATGGGTACACATGGTCATCAACAGGATGGAAAATAGGATCTGAAACAACTCTGACATATTGTCAACATGAATGAGTCTTTTAAATTCAGATAAAACCAAAGCCAGTAGTTCATCAGATTTCCACTAGGCGGAGCTTTCTTCAAGTCACTTCAAATATTCATTGCAAGTCCAACAGAACAATACAGTTATACTTCAAACATTTTTAAAGAATTATAAATTTAACTAAACTAAATGAGTTAATAGTTCTTAAAAACTCTTTGAATGAAATACAAGGTAGGAAAGAAAAGAAAGAAAGGATCAAACAGAAATTTCCACATGGGGAAAATACAACTTTTACTTATACATAAGCTTAATGAAAACCCCTATTGCTAGGTTTTATAAGAAGCACAAGAGATGGATAGAGGCACAGCTTAATGGATTTGCTACGAAGCAAACCTGTTGTTTTTAATCTTCAGAGAAAAGAAATTCAGATATTAAATGGCAAAATATCTCCTCTAAGTTTTATTGGACAATTCAAAGATACAAACTTCTAAGACATAAATCATTAGCAGAAGACATTTAGGGTTCCCAGAGCTGTAGAGCTAGTCCACTGAATCTTTGTACAAATTCACCCTACACAAACACGACCTTTGTACAAATATACCCTACATAAACACAATCTTTGTACAAATGTACCCTACATCAGGGGTCCCCAATCCCTGGTCCGTGAACAGGTACGGGACCATGGCATGCCACCAACCGGTCCGCACAAACAAGTAAAGCCCCTTCCGTGGGATGCAAGCAGCAACAAACTCAGGCATTCTCCAGTCCATGGAAAAACTTTTCTCCACGGAACCGGTCCCTGGTATCCAAAAGGTTGGGAACCTCTGCCCTACATAAAAACAACCTTTGGACAAATGCACCCTACATAAACACATGCCCCACCCTTTTGTGGTTCTCCTAGAAAACAAGGGAAACTTGATTCATTCCCTTCAGGTAGTCCTCGGCTTATGACCACAATTCAGCCCCAAATTTCTGTTGCTAAGTGAGACATTTGTTAAGTGAACTTTGCCCCATTTTGCCCCCAAAAGCGAAAGGAACATTGGATTCTTGCCACAGTCGTTAAGTGAATCACTGCAGCTGTTAAGTTAGTGACACAGTTTGTTAAGTGAATCTGGCTTCCTCCATTGACTTTGCTTGTCAGAAGGTCGCTAAAGGGGATCACCTGACCCTGGGACCAATATGAGTCAGTTGCCAAGGGTCTGAATTTGGTTCACGTGACCACGGGGAAGCGGCAATGGTTGTAAGTGTGAAAAATAGTCATATGTCACTTTTTTCAGTGCTGTTATAACTTTGAACGGTCACTAAATGAACGGTAGTAAGTCAAGGACTACCTATATAGGTGACAAAACCAAAATCAATAATCAGAATCTATCTTCAAATAATTTTGGAGGGCAACAAAAAATGAAGAAGAGGGGTGATCGGTTCACCTTCTTTATTGGACATGCTCTAGCAAAGGCTTAAATTTAAATGTTCCCTCACAATTCTATTTAAGTTATAGACAAAATACATGTCAGGGCAATGAATACAGCTTCATTTTTTTAAAATCATGATAAAAAAACTAAAATGAATAGACATCTTATCTTAGTACATGCAACACAGTGAATTTTCTAGTATAGTTATCCACAATACTCTATTCGGTGAACTAACATGCTGACAAAAAAAATCATACATATTTTGCAATCTGAAGAAAATTGGACATGAAAGAAATCAAGAGGGGTGATGAGATATAGTTATGGGAAAATGCTATGGTGATACATTAACATTTGGGATCAGATAAAATATATTAAACATATATTGTACAGTATAAAGTGAGTCAATACACCTATGCAATATTCAGAAATACAGCGTATATTTTTGTCACCGCTTTTAAAAGCAAACTTTTCGGAGAACAAAACTTGGCTGAAAAGTAAGTTATAAATATGTTAAATGCAATCAAGCAATAATTATGCTAATATATTTGGCTATTTAGCAGATAAAGTAAGCAAGTTGATCTCAGTACAGAGTTTTATATATTCTTTGAACTGATGAGTTTCTGCGAATGATTACTATTGGTGTCTATAATCTTTTTGGCTCCAAGGGGCTCCAAGTTGTGAACTATTTAAAAAGCAATCAGCTTTACATTCAACAAAAACAGTCTCAATCCTCCAAATATCATTCAGCACTCCAATGGAAAGATAGGTAGTTTGGTGTAGTGGTTAAGGCATCAAGCTTGAAACTGGGAAATTATGAGTTCTAGTCCTGTCTTAGGCACAAGGCAGCTGGATGTTCTTCGGCCTGTCCCTCTCCCTTAGCCCTAAGAAGCGGGCAAAGACAAGCACTTCAGAAAAATCTTACCAAGAAAACTTCAGAGACTTGCCAGGAGACAGCACTTACTCAAAAGTGCATGCACATTTACACACACACACACACACACACACACACACACACACACACACACAGAGAGAGAGAGAGAGAGAGAGAGAGAGAGAGAGAGAGAGAGAGAGAGAGATTTTTCCAAAGAAATTTTTCCTGAAAGAACATGGGAGATTTCTAAGTGATATTTTGATCCTTGTTATTAGCTGGTTGACACTATATGCTTGATGCATACATAATATTCTTCCATCCCATACATTTTATCCTTAAAAGAACCCTGACAAGAACATGACATTAAAAAAATATCTAGTACATTTGCAATAATATGTTATTGTTTCAACCTAGCTTTTGAACACAGGAAAAATTTACAATATAAGTCAATTTCAGATGGATGTGGCTGCTTGACAGAAACTTCCAGCAGAGTGGGAGAAATTTATCTATCGAGAAAACATGAAAGAACCAACTATTACCTGAAATAGAGGTGTGAGACAAAATAGATATTTTAAACAACAAATGGAGAATTAATATAGATTTTTATCTTATTGCCATGGGCCCCCTTTAATTCTCTTCATTTTGCCTTCAAGTGGAATTTAAAATCCACAAACTTCTCAATTCAAGTATGGAATTTCTTTGCCACTTCCTGGACAACAAACAACCATTTCAAATCCAAATGGCAGAAATGCCACCAAACACAGGGTGAAAATTATTTTAAAGTGTTATGTGTATAATTGTTTTTTTATTGAGCTTTAATAAAACAATCCATTTATCATATTACATTCCATAAAATCTATGTCAGCAAAGAACAAAGACACTGGTGTCTTTTAAAAGAGTATGACAAATTTCTTATTCTGATTAAATTTCCATTTCAAACTTATTCAGTGAAGCTCAGCAGGACCAGGGAAAATATGCAAATCTTAACAGAGGACTAAGGGTCATACAAGGAAAGAGATCCTAAAAGCTTGCACACTATTTCTGAGAGAGTATATTAGTTTAAAGGAACTACCTTTATTGGATCAAGAAAAGAATTTAAACACACAATCATAGATTATAATCTCCCTTCCTTAAATCAAGGGAAAATATCATAAGTCCAAAGAAAAGAAAAGGTTAGATGGATCTAAGCAATATCGTTTACAGAAATCTGCCCATAAGCACTGAAACTAAAAGTTGCAGCTGTATACACAGACAGATTTAGGCAGAGATAAACTTAAGGAAAAGCACAAAAAGCAAAGTAGTTTTTTAACAAGATTTTGCAGACACTAGACTAGAGTACTGCTGCAAAGCTCTTTAGAATAATGTAACTATATATGACTTAAGATTGCCAAAAAAGGAAAAAAAGAAATGCTTGCTGTTCCTATAGTTAATTAAATGAGTCACATTTTAAAAGCCTGTATGTTACAATAGCTTAGCTGCTTAGATGTTTTTAACACTGAGGACTCACATACTGAGAACAAGGGAATCCATATTTGCAATCTGCAGTATCAATTTGAATGGTAGCTTTGTAATATGGACAAATGCCCATTTGAGGGCTGAGCTGACAGGAGCAATAATGCTTAAGCCCAGCAGAAGCCTACAGTTGTGCCAGTGAATAGAATCAATCTATTACACAAATCTCAGGTGGGAATTTATGTAGTAAACCTTATTTGAAATGTGCTGTTATCTCTTTTCAGCATTAGTGCAATTTAGGAAGAAAAGAAGGCAAACGGAATTCCCACAGGGAAAATGAAAGCCCATAAAGATGGGAATTTTTAAAAACTAAACAGTTCATAAAAATGCTCAGTGTTGGCACACTGCAAAAATTTACAGTTTAATTGCAAATTCGAGGCAGAAACTAAATAAAAAAACATTGTAACCTACAGTCTAGGTCTTTTATTCCCTTTTTAAATATATACTTATAGGTTGTTCCACAATACTCTCTATTAATCTGTGGTCCCATTTCCTTGAGTTCAGTCTCCAAGGCTAAAGATGCAGTTCTAGAAGTCACGTAGCATGCGATAACACATCAACTGGGAAGATAGCAATAGCACTTAAGACTTATATACTGCTTCACAATGCTTTACTGACCTCGCTAAGCGGTGTACAGAGTCAGAATATTCCCCCCAACAATCTGGGTCCTCATTTTGCTGACCTCAGAAGGATGGAAGACTGAGTCAACCCTGAGCCGGTCAGGATCAAACTGCTGCCAGTCAGCAGAATGGATGGATGGATGGATGGATGGATGGATGGATGGATGGATGGAAGGAAGGAAGGAAGGAAGGAAGGAAGGAAGGAAGGAAGGAAGGAAGGAAGGACAAGTAGCAATAGCATTTATATACTGCTTTTCCCTCCTCACTAAATAATCATAAACTCCATCCTATCTCATGAAAAAGTTTCAACTCATGGACAATAATGTTTATAATAATATATTACAATAGAGCCAGTTTAGTCTAGCGGTTAAAGGCACCATGTTAGAAAGCAGGAGACCAAGAATTCAAATCCCACCTTAGCCATGGAAGTCAGCTGGGTGACTTTGAACCAGTTACTCTCTCTCAGCCCAACCCACTTCACAGGGTTGCTGTTGTGGAGAAAATAGGAGGAAGTCGTGTTGTATACATTTGCCACTTTCAGTTACAGTATTTGTAAAAATAAAGGCAGGATACAAACAAATAAATATATTTCTTGCGAGTGTAATGGAATTATGAAAATAGGCATCCTGGAAAGCAGAGAACATGATGGAATGTGGGGTAGAATGTAATGGTTAAATAAAAATTTGCTGTACCATTTAAAAAGTACAGTGCAAAGAGATAAAGTATTAGATGGGTCAGGCACAGAAGGCAGAAATAAAAGATAGGTAGCTATGATACTTGCTGAAAAAGTCAGTTGTGTTGGATTGTGTGATTAAACAGAACTGCATTTTCTTTTTTACAGAATTCTTACCCCATCAAAATAGCCACATAGGAGATAACCAGGCTGAGGGATGAAATGCGTCTTGACTCACTTCGCATCCACAAGAGATCCAGCCTCCTTCAGTTCCATTAACTCTTTTATCTACCGCTAATTTTCCTTGACCATTAATAGTTCATATTTTTATAGAGAATAAAACTGTACTCATTTGAACAGCCTTGGATCCCGATTTCTTGCACCTGAAAGACCATTTCTTCTCAATATTATCTTCTGTAAATTTATATAAGTAAGTGATATATGGCCATTACACTCCATTACAGTTACATGTCAAGGACTATCTTCATTGTAAAGTTTGAGAACCTCTGATCTATGAGATTGTGCAAAAGTGGTCATCAACAGATTAAGAATATGGCATCATGTTCTATTACACTATTATATCTAACTCAGGAGAGGCTGTTCTGGTTCTAGGTCAATGTTTAAATACAACGGCCAGTGGGATGGAAACTGATCTGATGCTGATCAGCTGATGCTGAATCTATATAACAGTCTATAGATGGGTTGTTTCCACATGTAGAAAACACTTGCAGATCTGCATTCTCATAGGAATTGATACATCACTTAGATATATTCATGGATCTAGTAGAGTCACTAAAAGCCTAATTGACAAAGTCCTTCAGTTGATAAAACAATTATGTCTCCTCCTAGACAGGGGACATTTCAGGCAATGGATGCATGCCCTAATAATTTCAGTTTTTAATTACCGTAATGTATTCTTTGTGGGGCTGTCAATATGATGGAAAGCTAAGCTAATGCAACATTGAGCAAGTTACTGCCACTGCAATATAATGTTATCCTAAGAATTTTACTGGCTGCCAATTTGTCACCAGGTCAGATATAAGGTTGCTGTATTAACCTACTTCGGGTTCAATATATGTTCAGTCTGACCAATGCAATCTTCCTCAGAAGTTGTCCTGATGATGTCTATAGATATTTCATTTGACACCATGCAGAAAAATATATTATCAGAAGTAACTCTAGTTTTCAGAATCTTGGTTGGTCAGAAATAAAACAAATAATTCAGGGCAAGCTGAAAAAAAATCATTCTGACATTTACAATTTTGTAATGGTATTCTTATGCCACCTGTGACCATTTTCACAAGACAAAATACATTTTATAATGTAATGAATTTATTTTAAAATGCTATATACTGAGTAGAATTTTTAAGACATAAGTACTCTTGATCTTTAGCTCACCGTTCTGCTCAACTGAGTTCTCAAGTAAGCTTGCAGTAATTAAAAAAAAATACAAAAAGTTTAAAAGTAGACTAAAGTTAATATTGAAGTAAATTAACAATTAAAAATGCTTTAAGACATTACTGAACAGATTTGAGAAAGCTGCATTGCTTTGATTTTACTTGATCTTATACGATAATAAAGTATCCCCTAAAGACCTGTACAGTCCTACCAGCAAAGATTTCAGAAACAATTACTAATAATTAGAAATACATCAATGCATATAATTTCTAACTAACAGTCCTCTTCAACTTTCCTTAATTCCTAATAATGTTAAGGGTTGTTTGTGTATTTTTGTTGGCAGAAGTATGGAAGTGGTTTTTAATTACATTCTTCCAGTATGTTTTTTAGACTTCCCAGTCTAAGCCACAATCTTGGAACTCCTTAGCAACTTCTCTTCCATATATTAGCTGGGTTTACAAGCCTAAGCAAGGTAGGACAAATACGGTATCACACCTGCCGAGATGTCACATTCTAGCAAGACCCAATCTAAGAGAGAATTCATCTTAACATTCCTACACAAAGGGAATCCTTGGTGCTCTCTGAACTCTGTTGGTTGCTTACCAATATTTCATTACCTAACTAAGCAATATCATCAGTCATCAAATTGATAATGTACCTAGCTGGATAGTGAAACACTGGCAAGCAAACAGCCTAGTCAGAGAGCATGAAGGACTCCACAGTTCAACCCTGAGTTACCCATATTCTCTTCTTCTGATTCCCACACATGCTCAGTTTCAGGTATGTTATATAACAGAAGCAAAAAATATTAAATAATAGAATTTTCAATAGAAAATCAACACTGATGAGGCCTTTGGATACCTGATCTTGGGAGCTAATGAATTAGTTGGCATAAATAATTCATTCCAATCCTAAATAACATTTAAGAATCACCAGACTAGGAAGATTCATGTGTTAATTATACAGATAATAAAATATTTCAACATTATTTTTACAGGCAATACCAAATAATGTTATATCTTGCTACAAAAGTTTATAGTTAGCCCATGAACATACAATGAAACACGCAAAACATGAAAGTATGTTTCCTATAAATGAATACATTTATCAAATATTTTCTTCCATTATGTCATTATGAAGTAATTACTTAAAAATCATTGTCCACAAATAAAAATGGCAACAGAAGATATATATAATAAATTCTGACTAAATTCTAGAGAGAAACCACATGGATATTCATATTTAGGAACCATGCCAAGCATTCAACATTTTAAAAACATTTCTTTATAATTAAAGAGGTAAGAGTTTATTACTTACCTCAAATGTGTTACCAGTTTCATCAATCTCTGGTGGAACAAAAGCACCTTCTGGATCATCTTTAAATAGAATTTCATATTAAAGTATTAAAATCAATTCAAGACAGATCAAAAATCATTTTAATCAATACATGGTAATATTTTGGCTTAAATTTAAAGATGTTGGTTTTTATTCAGAGTGAGGAGTATTCTGATTTTCCTCTTTGTAATATATTCTGCTCTTCTAAATCACCTGGAATCTTTATAATTTTGCAGAACATATAAATGTATGTGATAAATACAATGCTCCAAATCATTTAAAAATACGTTGAATCCAATTTCATATTAAAAATATCTACATTAGTGAGCGAAGTTTTTCAACATGAAATCTACATTTTCTATATAATACATTATATAGTTTGAGAATAAATATTCCTGACATCAAATTTAAAATGGAGCACTAGAAAAAGAGTTTGCTGTCAATATGTTGATCAAAGAATGTATTTGCATATAAAATGTCTCAATTATTTTGTTTTAAATATTCAAGTACAATGAAGAGACTATTCATAGTCTCTCAAATCTGCTCAGTTCATGCTTTTACGCATCACAATTGAAGCCATTGCCTCATTAGTAAGAGAGACAATTCTATCAGAACATTTCCCACAAAATGTGTTCCCTTGTCATTTCAACAATTACATTAGAGTGAAATGAAACATAAAAATGTACTGTTAATGCACTTACGAGATCTAGCAGCCTCAGTAATGCTGATATTATTATTAAATGTCTCTGTGTGTGTGTTTGTTTGTGTGCGTGGGTTAAAAAACACAGAATAACCTTGTTGAAGATCTCTGAGGCTGTTCTGTTGTTTAACAAATACTGTCAATCATCTATATAAATAAAAATGTAAATGTTTGTTTGTTCAAAATCTTAAATCTCCGAAAGTTCTTCACCTATTGCTTTGAAATTTTGACACAACATTGCATTCGAATACACGGGGTTTTTTATATATCTATATTATATAGATGTCACACCTGTGACAGGTGAAAACATGCTTTTTTGAAAAACAGCATCATCTGTTGGACGTAAAAGCAACACAAGCTACATTTCAGTCAATCTCTATATCTGCACAGACAATGGAACAACAAAAAATATTATATACCCACAAGCATTGTGAAATTAAACATATTACAAACGTGCGCTTTCTCTTTTCTTTCTTTTCCATTTAACCAGGCTGAGCCACAGCAACGCGTGGCCGGGAACAGCTAGTATATTAATATATTTCAGAAGAACACTGAGGATTTTGTTTAAATTTAACTTCATATCCTTAACATTTATAATGCATCAGTTTCTAGAAGACAGTAAGATCCATAAAGTTGAGAGAGGGACAAAAAGAATCTTCCAGAGTTCTAATTTCACTCTGCAAAAATAAATGTGTTCAGATTTAAGAAAGTAACAGCATGACATTCCAGCATTCTCTGTTATCCTCAAATATCCCTAAGAGTTACTTAAACAACTACATAAATCTTGAAATACAAAGTTCACAAAAGGATAAATGGAAAAATTAGGGGAAATTTCATAATTCTGGTTACCTGTCCTGCACCACACCAAGATCTTGCCTCAAAGCAGGACCAACCAGAAATCAGCTTCCCAAAATGAGCAAATTGTGCAAGGATCCAATCAGGAACCAATACCACCAAAACAACCAATCAGGATCAAGCATAAGTCCTAACCCTAACCAATCAGAGACTAGCCCTCTCCAACCGGAACCAATAGGAAGGCAGCTTAACTAAAAACCAGTCAGAAGTCAGTTCACCTAGCTATAAAGGCAGACACCGAATCAGTCCCTGTTTGCAGACTACCTTGCCTCTGAAGATGCCAGTTACAGTTGCTGGTGGAACCTCATGAAGTCTACTGTCATGGTCATTAATCCCTAAAGCTCAACACAGTCCAACAGATACAAATAGTACTTGACTTATCACCACATTTGGGATCAGAATCTTACTTATTGAGCACACTGGTTGTTAAGTGATATGCCTATGTGCTCAATGACTGCAATTCCAGCTCTCTCAGCTGCAGTTGTTAAGTAATCATGGAGTGCCTCAGGAGGTAGGGGAAGCCTGGTACCCATCATCACACATAAATCTGTCAGACCTCAAACAGCTACAGGGCCCATTGGTGTGCAGAAACCTGTCACAGGTCGGGGCCCTCTTCCTGCCCCACCACACCCAGATCCATTTACCTTTGCCTTTTTGTGCACCAGCAGAAAAAACCTTCAGAAAAATAGTGTTCCCTAGCTTTCTGATCAGAAAAACAGCAGAAGATTTTTCTAGAAAAATGTGACACACACTTAATAATACGTACTATAATACTATACAGCAGGGGTCTTCAAACTTGGCTCTTTTATGATTTGTGGACTTCAACTCCCAGAATTCCTCAGCCAGCCAATTCTGGGAGTTGAAGTCCACAAGTTTGAAGACCCCTGCTATACACAGATACATTGTAATGCCACATTACATGAAAACCTTGATTATAAGTAGAGTCGGGTGATGGAAATAAGAATAAAATAAATTATAGAAGCTGAACCTACACCAGATAAACAATAAACTAGAAAACTATAGATTCCTCTGAAGGTGATCAGCCAACCATTTGATTAGAAAATATGTCAAGTGAATTGACAGGAATAAGTACGTGAGCTTCATCAGCATAAAGTGATCTTTAATTAGTTTCTCATACAACTTTAAGGAATATCTCAATAAATGATTATACTGATATTAGAATGTAGTCTTCAAAAAATATTTACACAATCTGTTGGCATCAATTCTTTAATGATACAGTAAGTATTTTCAATTTTTTGACAAATCATGGATGTATGAAAAAAGAGTTTCCATTAAGTGGCTGTTCATGAGATTGTCAGCTTGGCTTGGATTTTGAAATCACATGTTCTTCTAATGATCCATCAACCTACAGGAGGTAATGCAATATCATTCGTTAGACACCGGGGGAAAAAGGTCTAGTTCACATAGAATGTTCTGCCTGATCTTATTAATAAGATGTTAATATCAGCATAGGCCCCATGTAACATCGTAGAAAAAAATTATGCATATCCTTCTGAAGTTAATCAGCATACTCCTGACTGAACAAACACCAGCATTAATGAGGACAAGTAAACAAGAAGCTATCTGAATAGAGGAACTGTTGAAGGAACTCCAACATAAGATATTCATGAAAAATTATTCATGTCTTTGCACATTCATTTTTTTCATGAATCAAGTGAGGCTTTAAAAACACTAAATCTTCCAAGCTGCAACATGAGGCCACTTCTTAATAAAATGGAAATCCAAAGGCAGAGCTTCAGAATTATGAATGTTCCCAACATGGTTGTTCAGTTGTGTATTTGTATGCCAGTCTATTGATTTAAATGATTTTAGAATGAACTAGAACACCATATTAACTGTAAAATTAGCATGGTTTTAAAATCGGAGAAAGAACAATTAACCAGTGGAACAACCTGCCTCCAGAAGTGGTGAATGCTCCAACACTGGAAGTTTTTAAGAAGAGACTGGACAGTTATTTCTCTGAAATGGTATAGGGCAGTGATGGTGAACCTTTTAGACACCGAGTGCCCAAACTGAAACCCAAAACTCACTTATGTATCATCGGGTGCCGGGTGGGCGTAGCCCATTGGCTGAGTGTGGCCCATTGGGTGGGTATGGCTGTGGTGGTAACAGCAGACTTGGTGGGACTAAAAAGTTCAGTCAATCAATTCCAACTTTGCAAGATCTTTTTTTTTCCTGCGAGAAGCTGAAATTGATTGATTGATTGAACCTTTTTGTTTTCCACATGGTGATGGAGGACTAAAGCAAAAAGGTTTTATAAAACCCATCTGAAGGCCTAGGACTGGGGCGCATGTGCCCACAGAGAGAGCTCTGCGTGCCCTCTGTGGCACCCGTGCCATAGGTTCGCCACCACAGGTATGGGGTTTCCTGCCTGAGCAGGGGGTTGGATTAGATAACCTCCAAGCTCCCTTCCAACTTATTATTATTAATAGTAATAATTTGTGTTATGCTGATGACATTGCTCTGACAGCTGAAATGCAAATTATCTGCAAACCCTAGGAATAAAAACCGAGGAATACAGTGAAAAAAGGGGGCAGATTAAATGTAAAGAAAACTCAATTAATGATAACAGATTCAGCAACCAGCCTCAGAAAAGGCAGTGAAGATGGATAACATTTGCCTCTTAGAGTCAAGTATTAATGGCAAAGAAATCAGCAGTCAAGAAATATGCCACAAACCAGCACTTAACAGGACAACAATGAAAGTTTTGGGATAGATATTCAGATGGTGGGATGTGTCTACTGGAATCATGCAGGAAATGGTTTCTCCGTTACATATAGAAGCAAAAGGTGCACTGAAGTAATAGAATAGAAAGAGAGAATTTTGAATGCTAGTTTGGGGAAAGACTCCTAAGAACACCATGGATAGCCAAGAAAACAAACAAATGGATCATCAAACAAATCAATCCAAATGAGCAGGCTCAAATTATCCTATTCAGATACCTTATGTGAAGACTTCTGCCATTAGTTCTCTGGAGAAGTCCATAATGCTGGGAAAATTGGAAGGAAGGAGAAAAAGCGGATAACTAACAAAAAGATGAATGGGCTTGATTATAGCAGCAATGGATGGGCTCCTGGAAGATGAAAAAGATCAGGGACAGACAGATTCTATCTATGTGGTTGCCAAGAGTTGACACTGACTTAATGACACACAATCAATCACTCAATCCTTATAAGGGTAAACTTGATTTATTTTCAATTATTTGTGGCTTAAAACATAGGGTAAAGTGGCTGTTCAAAAGATATCAAAATATGTATCCACAGTCATTACAAATCTTCAAAATATTGTTTTCAAAAATGCCAAGAATCACCAGGAAACCAACAAATATAAACTGCTAAACTCAAACATAACATTAAGCCAGCATCTCTTAGCTTATTGAGCAAGCCAATCTGGGTTGTATATCATACTAAGGCAAAAAAAAAAAAGTCTAATTGCACTGATGATTAGTAATATATAGGACAACTA